AGGCATCTGCCTATGTAAATCAGGGTTTCCATACACAGAGATGATTGGAAAATATAAATGGATGAGTATCAGGTAAACATAGTCCATCTCACAACCACAGGACACACACACACCCCTTCACAGATGACAGCTTTGATTACTTTAGGCACCGAAACCAAGCCTAACCCAGGCCACACTTTAGTTGTATGTCAGCAAGCTCCAAAATTAGATTTAGAGGAGAAAAGAGGGGATAAGGTGACACTCACACAGTTAAAAACACAGGATGAAACCTGCTGGCTCAGCACTGTGCGGGGCTGGCCACAAGCTCTCGCAGTCCCTCAGCCTTCCATAACCTTGGCTGCCAGACTGGACTTTTCTCTTTTGTTGAAGGTTCTCTTTAGCAGTCAACTCAGCAAAACAGAACACAGAAAATATAAAATATAGTATTTACAAAGAGCAGCCTTGCGGACAAGTTTTAATGACTTTTAGATTAGTTCAGAAATTATTATAAGAATTGCTTTAGAGCCATGGAGTCTCTTTTCACTGTTCTTGGGCATTTCTTAATGTCTAACAAGGCCATAAACTTCTCAAAAGAAAAAGCAAACCCTTGAGATTTAAGACTGCAAATCAGTTTAACAAAGCCTGTGCACAGAGAAATCAATTGGATCTCTATCTCAGGGAGTTTGGATTTGTTCTGGACACCAGTATGCTCAGGTAGAAAAGTGATTCTTTTTGAAGCACTGGACATTATGTGTTAACAGCTCCCGAAGAGTGGATTATCCATTGGCCTTAATGTTTCAACTAGAGCAACTAATTTTCTATTAAAGTACTTAAGATTGAATGCTCATTGTAATGACCTTCAAATTAGAGTTTTAAGATTTTCCCAATAAGTTCCTCAGAATCTGCTGAACAGCTTTTAACTCCACCCATCCTTTTTCCCTTTCTGCATGACAGCTTTTAGGCTCCATTTTGTGTCACGAATATCCACAGGCCTTCTTCCACAGACAAAGAAGAGGCCATCATGATTATTCTCGTAATAAAGCAAAATTCCATGGGGACGCTCTAGTAATCCTAATTGATTAACCTGTAATCCATTTTCTTCTTGATTCGTTCTTACCGTAATACTAATAATTTTCTCAGTCTGGCCCAAGCCAAAGGGCAGTGATCAGGCACTCGGTCCATTTTGCCACCACCTGCCATTCAGAACATTCTCTTGCATTTTTCAAGGTAGGTGAACTGTTTGGCTGCTTCCTAACTAGTTTGACTCCAAACCGCATAGTTCATTACCATTTTCCCTTCTCTCATTACGACTATACTGGACCACGGGTGCGTTTTGCTCAAATGCTCTTGGGTATTTGTAAGGCTAAAATCGAGAAACACATGGCATTGCAGGAAAACATGCCAAAAAAAAAAGGGGGGTAGAAAAAAGCCTGTTTTGCTCCAGTGAATTCTGGAACTTCAAACTTGTGTCTTACCTCTGAGGAACCTGAGCCCATGGTGGGCATAACCTTAGACCATACGGAGTCCTGGGCTGTGATTTAGTCAAAACTAAACTCCTCACTGCGCAGTTCCAAGAATTCCTGTCGTGTGTTGCGACTCCTGAGTAACTCGGCTCTCGAGCTGTTACTGCTCCTCTGTCTCAGGCACAGTGGAACAGTCTTCTCAGATGACCAGATGTGCTTTGCTTACCTGCACTCCCCGCGGGTTTGGCTTGATATTGGATTGCCTCCCACCACCTCTTCTGCAGTCTTGCTTCTCTGCTTCTTCCCAGAACAGGATGCATTTTCCAGGGGAGAAATTATGTATAACAGAGATATTCTGGACTGCAAAATTTTTTGCAAATGAAAGATAAAGTCTCTGAGGCTACTTGAGTGAGCCAGAGGAACTAAATGAATGAGATAGCGGGGACAAAAGTGAAACACCTACTTAACTGAAACCTCATTTCAGTCTTTTTCTCCAGTTAATTAAGTATTGAGGAAAATGGATGCAGAAAGCACATTTTAAGGCAATCAAGTACTGCCAGAAATCAAACCAGCAATTTGAAAAGAGAACAACACTGCTCTCTGGCATCTGACAAAATAAGATATTTGACAGGGAACAATATGTGCAGTACTGGTTAATTGAGAGGCGAGGAGAAGAATAATCATAGCTGCATTACTGCGTTTATGGAAGTATCTCCAGCGTACCACAGGGACGATGCGGATTTGTGGAATCCTCCTGCCTGCTACAGCAAGCCAGCAATCGCTTACATTCCCATCACAACCTACCCTAGGCAGCAATGCAGAAATAGCAACTGTGGTGGCTGAAACTGGGAGGCTTGCCTTTAAAATGACTGCAATCCCACACTTTCCTCTGCTGGTGAAGAGATATGGAATAAGAAACACTTGCTTTCCTTTGTTAGAGCTCAGCGGAGCACAGCACAACCCCTTACCAGTTCACAGGGTATGGAATATGGCTCTTACAGCACCAGACCTACACCAGGGTCAGTTGACTGTGTGTTTTTTTGAAGCATCAGCATTAGAGCAAAGATAAGACTTTTGGTTTTTCCCCACCTTTTAGGTCTAACCTGTAGCCAAAAACAGCGTGAACTCTACCCATGAACTTATGTACATTTTGGAAGCTGTGGCAGAACTTTCAAGGCTGTATTCTCTTTCCTGCAGCTGATTCACTGACCTTCCATTTTTTCCGTGTCATTTTGGCACATCAAAATGGTGCTCACAACCCATCAAAATGGTGTCAAAGAAGCCACCGATGGGGATCTAGGCACCTGAACAAACCAATCCTTTCGTACCCTTCCCATTCATACTAAAACCACTATGTAAGGGTATGTGCAGTTAATGGGAGACTGTTACTTAGATTCTTTGATATAAATCAGTACTTCCACGTGTAACAGGTTGTCTCAGCAGCAGATCTGTTGATCTGAAGATAGTATCAGGAGCCAGGCAAGAAACACTTAAATAAAGAGAGAGGTAAAAGAGCAGCTAACCAAGTTAAACAAGTAGTTTAGCAAGTAGGAGATCTGGGAATCACAAAACAGAGTCTTTCGCTCTGGAATTGCTCACAAGAAATTGACATGAAACAAGATACCCAAAAGGATGAAATATCAATCATCTCCTTTTAGCCTACTTTTAGCCTTCATGACCTGAACCTAAGTTAATTAAAAAGGATCCAAACTATGCTCCTCTGGAGAACTGAAATCTTCAGTTACTCAGTGCCACGCAATGACTAAAGCCACACATATCTTTACATGTCACAAATAGTACTGAAAACAGATTATTTTTCAGTACAGGTTCAAGAGAACACAGAACATTCCCCTTTCTCTATAGTGGAAAAATAAAAGCAGTCCACAACCATAGTTAATAATTTCCTGTTTTGCCTCTAAAAAAAATAAAAATTAGTAATCTGAAGTGGATACACCAACTTCAGGAGAAAGGCAATTTTCCTTCATGTATTTCACGTGGTACTCGGCAGGCCTTCTAAATAAAGGAACCCTGAAACATCATCCAGTACCGAGAGCAGATTCTCACTAAGCTTTCATCTGTTTAATTTATGAACCACAGAAGCAGAAAAGCAAAACACAGAAAGCTGCTGATTTTTCTGTGCACCCATCAATCATCAGTGCATTCACCTCAGTATTTCAACAGCTGAATTATGAATAGAGATCATTATTTGTATGCTGTTAAAAAGCTTCCAGGAAGACAAATAAAATGATGCAAAAAGCTGAGCAGATTTAGCTGTTTCATAGCTACATCCTGTTTTTCCAAGTTCCATACAACTTCTGAACTCTACACTGAAATAAGTGCTTGGTTGTGCCCATAAGAGTGTTGGAGAACATGCACACACACACGTATGTAACAGAGAAGATCTGCCTATATTCTGTCACTGGAACTACAGATATACAAGTCCATATTTTAAGCAAATCCACACTGTTGCTTTTGAATACTGCTGTTGCAATCCACTTTCACAGTAGTGCACCACGTAGTCAGTTGTCAACAACTTTAAAAAGTTCAAACAATTATTTAGAATTACTCTTTTCTGCAGAAAATGACTTTACTGTAACTAGAGGCTATTTAGGGCAAGGTGGCAAAAGCAGAGGGGGCTGGAATCACTTTAAGGGTCAGCCAGCTGAAATCTCAAACAGCAGTAACGAGGATCAGGCAGCTGAAACCAGTTCTGGGACACATTCAGAGTGTTCTCACAGAGGTGAGAACCTGGGCCAGGGAGTGACGACCATACAGAGTATTTACGTTGTCCGGCGGTGTTTCCCTGTCTACAAGGGAATGCATTTGCAATGTACAGCACAGAAAATCCACCTCAGATGTGTGTTGCACTTTTCTCTGTTATCACCTTCAAGGTCTTAGGGCACTACAGGATTATTGCTCAAAATACATGCCTAAGACTAGATAGACTTGTGTTCACCACAGCTCCACCTGATATTTTGATTCCTCTATGTAAAGCATATCAAATTTGCATCAATCATAGGGCACATCAGCAAAATTAGTAAGCTGGATAGCGAGAACATGTTTCTTCCTTAAATTCCATCCTTCCTTCCCTCCCACCGGTGGTTACGGGACTGGCAGACGCTTCTGAGCCAGCCCACTGTGAGCCAACACACACTAGCCAGGGGTGGAACCACAGTGCAACCCAGAGCATCTTCTGGAAGATGATGCCTGAGAAAGTACCCCAGGCCCATGTTCGATAAATGGCATTTCTCCTACCGAGGATTAAGTTTAAAAAATTTTGTACAAACCCTACCCAAACGGTAGCAGATGAGACTGCGGCTGTCGTGGGACGCGCGGGGCTGTTTCAGGCTGCTCCTGCACTCCAGGCTTGGGGAACTCCTGGGGATCTCTGCAACTGAGTGGGTTGCAAGAACTCAGGGCAGGATTTGACGTGGAAGCATTTTAGATTCTGACATATGAAAGGTCCGCCCAAACATCGTCCCTTAATAATAATAATTAATCATCTTGGAAGAGCAGCAGACAAACCAACCTCTTTTTACGTTTTCCTTTTGTTACTAGGTAGAGAGAAGAAGAATAGTTCAAAGCCTGAAGAAAGAGCTGAACATCACAAACCAACCAGACCCTTCCATCAGCTGCAACGGCGCATGGCAAAAGGCCTCCAGCATTCCCCCAACAAGCTTTTAACCTACGGCTTTGGGCGTTTCAGAGAGCACACAAAATCAGGACAGCAAACTAGGTTTCACACCAATTACAATGTAAACCTTGAGCAAACAGGAAAATGAAGAAGCCTTCCAACTAATGCATCTTCCTATGACATAACACAGTGTCATTATGGCAATCATCGGGCTCACGTGCTAAAAACAATACCAGAGCACCAAAGAGGATATTCTTAAAAGGACTTTCTCAATCGGAATAGAAAGCCAGATGCAGGAGTCCTTTCATTCGTTACCAACAGCTGACACTGACAGCACACGTGCTATGTGCTCCTCTTACTAAGAATTCTGATGAAGCATTTCGATTTTTCCCTGCTGCACGCTTGATTTACAGATAGGTCAGAAATTAAGTTTCTGATAAAGCTTTCAAAACTCTACGTGAATTGTGACCTGATTTCATCACTTTACAATAGAATCTAGAATATTAAGTCTAATTTTCAAGTGATTTAGATATTAATCTAAGCACCTTAAGATCTTTTTTAAAATCTTCACTTCTATTAGCCAAACATGGCCAAGTTGGAAAAAATGTAATAATTGAAGCCTCAATCCTTTCTTTTAGTGATATTTACTTACTTCATTATGACATAGTAGTTTAAATTTGTCTGGTTAAGATTAGACAGCTCTCTAAAGATAGATGCTTTTTCCACACTCTTCTCCAAGTGGGACACTTTTCAAGGCATCAGATTAAAATAGAAAAACAATAACTGGGATAAATAAAACACACCGCTTTTGGTTTGTTGTTTGTTTTTTTTCTCCCCATTGTCCGCTACCAATGTGTTTTCACAACCACGCTTCTACCTCAAAAAAGTTACTTTTTTTTAAAGTATTACAATTCCACACATGATCCCTAAATAATTTGAAGATACAAAATCTTATTTGAAATAATTTAACTGTTACGATCAGCTTTTTTTGTGTACTGACAGAAGATGAGGCAATCAAAATGCATCCTTTAAGATGGGCCTCTTTCATTGTTCCTGGAAGATGCTTCCAGGCATAGTGCCACAAGGATTGTTTTAATTACCTAATACTCGAGACATTTAAGAAAAAGCCACAAGATCTACCAATCCGACTCCAACCATAGGTATATCTAGTTACTGAAGGATAGCTTGGTTTTGTTTGTTTGAACCATATGGAGCATTTTTGGTTTGTGTTATTCTGTTAGACTTATTTGAGACAAATGCTGAATTTCTTTAAAGGCCTGTTGGCTAGACTGATGAGTAGATTATTTGTTCTCATAAACTGTGTTCTAATGGACAATGCTATAGGCAAGGCAGAATAATGCTGTATATGTAAATAGAGAAAAACACTCTGAGTGTGAAACTAACAACTGCAAGTAGAATCTTAACTCTGTATCATTAGAGAAGCACCTGTTATACTTCCGAAGTTCCAACTTGGACCAAAAGTATTGTTTTTTAAGGATCTTGTCAAGGAGTAGAAAAGATTATTACCCACTTTTGTTGAAAGGAAAAACAACACCTTTCTGATGGAAGAATAACTTGAAAATGCCCCTCTGCTGGGGAACTCAGAGTCTAAGAGCACTACTGCTCACCTAGAGGAGCTTGGCTTTCCTAATACCTGGCTGGGGTAGGCAGGCGGAAGCAATATGAATTATTGGAAAGTAATTTCTGTTCAGTTCAAAAATGACTGATTTCATTGGTGTCACCCTTTCCTCTTGCACAGAATTGCTCTGTGCTATTGTAGACCTTTGAAATCCACAAGTACAAGCTCATTGCGGTGAGCTTATTTGTAATAAATCATCCCAGATTCAAGTGCACTTTCATGAACTAGATGGAGTTATTTTCTTATATTGATGATAGCAGAATCTTTAAGGCTATTTCAGATGAGTTACCTTCTTTTGGAATCTCAAATAGGATTTTTCTTCAATGAAAAAGGAGCTAACTCAGGGCATTCTTTGCAGATATTCCTTGACACCTGACCATTTCCTCCAACACATCCACTCGGGCACAAGTTACAGCAGGGAGAAGTCGGCAAGGGTTTTCATCAAAAGTGACACATTTGAGGCCAAGTGTTGTCAGAGTGAAGGGTGATCTGCAGAGGAGCAGCAGATGGCTGTTACGGGCAGAACGAGCACAGTTTGTTGTTACAGGATGGGCAGGTATGTAGTACCCACCCCCGGGTTTACTGAGGATTACTGGCTGGCCAAGGGCCATTAGGCAGAGGTGAACATTGACGTTGCAAGACCTTCAGCTATGGTCAAACCAGTGCATACTGGTAAGTACAAACAGATGGATCAGCAGATGTTTAGTTTCAAGGAAAACAGCGTCCTCTCTGGGTTTGTTCAGAGCAGGTCTCATCCCCCGTTGTTATTCCATCTGGAAGAAGGGACACCAAGACAGTGTACTGGACCTGTGGACTAGATGCACCTTATATCTGGTTTTATATTTGGTTTTGCGCATACAAATGAAGTCACTGTTTCATTTTGAATCATCCAATAGTGTTTGCCTCTTTTTCCTGGAACCTAGTATTTTTAGAAGTAGTTAGGTGAGGTTAGTCTCCGTTTGTAAATCAGCCTTCAGTATACAAAAAAAATGCAACAATGAACTACATGGCAACATGTAGTCCAATTTTTCCATCGTTTAATTTTTTAAAAAATTAATGAAGAACTATTTACAGAAAATTCTAGAGAAGATAAATTATATCTGTTCCTTCATTATCATTCCACGAGTTTGAGTGACTATTAGTATTAGTAAATATTAAAGAACAAGCTCCGCAGATCCCATATATCATTAATCATTGGATAAGAGAAAATGGTACCCTCCATATAGTTGATATTTATTTCACAAACTGGTTTTTGATAGTCATTTATTCCGAGCTGTGATTAAGTCCACACAGATTTACTGCACCGTACAATATTTTAGGGACTCATCTAGTTCAAGTAGTCCTTGATCATTTAGAGAATTTTCGGCTTCGTGTATCACACAACTTTCCCTGCTGTTATCAGAGACAGTGTCTGGGGATTGCTTATAAGTGCAAAGTGATGACCTTGAAGTAGATTTCTTTGGCAGAAAAGCTGTTATTGCTTGGGACTGCTGTTCATCATTTACCTGTAACACAAACAAAAATGTTTTGTTTTACTGGTAACAGAAAACCAAATGAGCTTTCTGTTATAGGTCAAAAGATTCACTGCAAAAGACTAAATATTGGAAATTTACATACTGAAAACAGAAGAAAATATTTCGAGTACATTTATCATTTTGAATATACAACACAGTGAGCCTTGATATCGATCACTTTGGTATAGTGTAAGATGGAATAACTGTGCCACAGCTGGCAAACTATTTGCTAGCAGCAGAAAAAAAGCTAAACCAGGAACAGACAGTACTCTTAATCTGTTTACTAAGGTACCAGGCATTGTGTACCGAGATCTGTATTTCATTTTTCCTGTACATATTCTGCAAACATAAAATATAGTTGTCACTTTTTTTGCTGACATCTGGACAGAAACCACTGCTTTCACATTTTAGCTGATGTGCAGTCAAAACACTCAATTTAAATTCTACATTAAATTCACATAGAAAAGTGAATAAATTTGCATATGAAAATGACAGGGCACGTTTTAAACACCCTGAGAAATTTGCAACAGTTTGAAACTGGGTGTCTGAAATGAAGTGCATATAAGTATCTGTCAAAGAGAAGGAAACAAGACTTATTTCACTTTGAAAATAAGACACACCATTTACTGTATTAATATAAAGCATGAAACAACACATTTTGATGGTTTCAGTAAACAATGAAATGATATTATGAACAATTCCTCTAGAAAATCCCAGATGTACATTATCTTGAAATAAAACACACACATACCCAGCAACGTCCAAGAGAGAAGGGGCACAAATTCCTGGAACTTATGATTTCTGCATATTTACACTTGGGGGGAAAAAACAACCCTGAAATCTTAATTTCTCTTATATAGTTGAAGGTAAGGAGTAGCCTATCCTTTGACCTAGTCAATACAAGCTTAGGCAAAGAGGACTGTTTGGGAAATCCCTCCCCAGTTAAATTAAAAAAAAAAAAAAAAAAATTATTACTGATTACTGCTTTAACCTTGATTATGGTCAGCGAGAGCCCACCACAAACTTACACCCATACTAGCAGGTGATTACTACACAACTTTCTGCTGCCAAGGCTTCCTTTCTTTTTTGCACTACTGAGTTTTTTTTATAAGCACCACTCTCCATTTGTTTCTAAACTTACAGGAAAACATACATAAATGAGTGTAAATAAAATATATTGGAATCACTTAATGAAACAGTAATAAAACACAGACCTCCAGGCAATGTCTGTAAGAAGCAGAAAGTTTTGGCAAGTAGGGCAATTAACATTTGAAACAATACACATGGATTCAGCGGATTCACTCTCACTTCAAAACACAGTTTCCCATTGCTATAGCTAAAAAAAAAAAAAATCCGAAACCCTAAACTAAACTATGGGGCTCTTGCCTTTGCTTACTTTTGGTATCTTGCCAACGTACTTTATGGGCTGTGCAGCAAACTCCACTCATGCCATGAGAATGCTTTTGTGTAACCTGGCAAACCAGAAGAATTTTTTATCTACTGGCATATCTCTATTTAGCCCTCATATAAAGAAGTATTGATATAAGTATTCTTTTACTGCTCAGGTTGAGATAGCGTGGTTAAAAACTTTGGAGATTTCAGATAACAAAAGGTTTATTTCTGTCCTAAAGCTGAAACATTTTTCTATAATCTGCGAAGCATTTGCATCAGTTTAGAAATAATGCCTTTTTCTGATGTACTGTGAAACTTTCAGCCACGTGTCATATTACTGAAAATGTAAACTTCAGTCACTATACTTTTTAAAATAAAAATCAGCTTTCAAACCCTACCTCTGTAGTATTTGTTTCAATACCCTTAAAATCTGGTAGGCACTAACATTAAAATCCAGCTTCTTTACCATCTAAATGTTCCCTATTTATGTGTTTAACAGTCTTTCAAATACCTGTAGAAAAGTTGTTAGCAGAAAACTTGAAGCCTCAACTCAGACTCCCAGAGATAAATCTTTTGCTGTTTATTTTTTCTGAAACTTAAGAAGCCCCAGTATAAGGAATATCTACTCTTTAATATCCATTATTAGAAATTGAAAATATACCTGTATTTAATTGACATTTCCAAATGGGTTTCCTTATGATGTCACAAATTACATCACAGGAACAATGTGCAGATTGCTAGCGTGGTCAAGACCTCTGTCATGTTTTAAGTAATTCAGTACTTATGATCTTACTTTCACTGTATTGCTGAGAGACGTAAAGAATGATGGTATGTCCTCAAACTTACTTGGCAAGATGGATACATTTAATGAATATATTAGTTTTCCCCATGGCTTTCATACCCAGATAAATTTTTTTAAAGTTACCTTTTGTGGTTTGCTGCCACCAGGTGTCAAACAGGAGTGCTCACTAAGATTATTTGGTCCACATTTCTCTATGTCTTGTGTGGGCAAAGACAATTTCTCACTTGGGGAAGTCACATGGAGACCAGTTCTTTGATTTGGGGTTGTTCTTTGTAAACTGTGAGGGCTAACCTTTCCAGTGGGGATATCGGCAATCCCTGAAATATAAACAGCTTCTATTAAACAGAGCTAAATAAGTTACACTTTCTCAAACAGATCTTCTCTTTTTTTACAATGGGGATAAAAATAGTCAATTAAAATAAATAATTTGTTCTACTGCAGAAAACAGATCAAAAAGATCACTGAACAGATCTTGTGTATTCCAAAATTCATATGCAAGCCCTAGGAACTGCAGACAAGATACAACAGTAATTCTGTAGCAAAGTTTTTCAAACACGTGCTTGATCTTTTTCTTTACAGGTACATTATTATCTGGAGAACAATTTCAGTCTGAAAACGTACTGGTTTTACTAGAATTCAATCAGAACACATTATTGTGACATGATATTCCTGATTTTTCTTATTTTTCTCTGCGTAGAACTATAGGGTTACAGGCTGTCTATTATGTCTCTAGCCTAGAAGTCAAAATTAACCAGCACATATGTCCTCAGAACAGGTGTATTTCCAGAAAAACAATAATGCTGGTAAGATAACGAAATACAAATAATGCCCAGACTTAGAAATCCTGTTTTCTGGGAATGATCACTGAAGTGACGGTGATTCAGTATCTCTATGGATTGCCCTTTAATGATTGCAATTGCATTTATTATAAAGGGGTACTTAATAGGTAGTTGAACGTACAATATATTTTTCGAGCCCTGATTTATGCAATCTTCCTAGTTACTTTCTGCTACAGTGAGCCCTTTTATGGAACATCAGGCTACCTAATTTCAGTGCATTGGTAGCAGAACAAAGCTGAACTCTCATGAAGATGGTAATATATTACTGCTGCAAGCAAGAGTTTTGGCTCAGGGAATTTTAATCGATTTAAAGTATTGCGAATTAACACACTTTTAATTACCGATTCTGGTACTGAAAGAAGTAAACACACACAAATAAGCAAATAATTGGGGAAAACACCTCTCCTCAGTTTCTGGCATCCAGTTGCCTCACCGCACAGTACCACCTCAGTGATGTCTCAGTTTCTGGCATCCAGTCGCCTCACCGCACAGTACCACCTCAGTGATGTAATAGAGGCACAAGAGATGGGGGTCAGATCCTGCTCCTTGTTTCAGGTATTGAGGACCCCACTGGCTGTAGTCCCACTGGGGTCACACCTCCTCAGTCTACTCTCACCCCACGTAGGCTACCCCCATCTTCTGCCCCTGCTCAGGCCACCACCACCCTCCTCAGCCCCATGTCCTGCTCTGTAGAATAGGTTGTTTCAGCACTACTCCTGTGCTTCCAGCCCCAGCATTGTTTTTCTTTCATCTCAACATTTACAGCCCTTTCTTACTCACGTTTTCACAGAGATGTGACAAACACTTCTGACTGGTTCCAGTGCACGGTTTTGTCCTTTTGGAGCCAGCTGGGCCCAAACATGTCCAGCATGAGGTAGCCCTGACCTCCTTCCTCAGAGCCCTGCAGCCCTCACCACCAATCACTTGCCAGTCAGACCTCACATAGCTATTAAATGCCTCTTTGACCTCGTAAGGGGTAATACTGAAAGAACTGTGGGGCTATGGATAGAGCAAACATGACTCCAGCACAGCATGGTACTCTAGTGCCCCAGTCTTATAGCCTTTAAGATCAAATTCACTCCATCTATTCTCATATAAGTTTCAGTGAATGGTTCAAATAATGCTTTTAAATGACTAGGGCAAGTCTTCCGTCAGCAAAACTTTGTTGCTGTTACATATCACATTTAGCCTCTAATGCACGCATCATGAGGAACTACAAAGCTGTAACTGCCATGAGCAGTTAACTCTTAGAACAGTAGGTTTTAATCCAACATACACGTATTATGCTGATCTAACACCACAGCTGCACAAACACTACCCTTAGCACTAACTGACACATCTCCCATTGACTACTTTCACCTTCCAACAGTCACCAAAAATGTTTGCATAGTCACCTACTTACCCAGAGTTAAACAAATTTGGCAACAAGAAAAAACCCCACATGCTATGCTCAGAAAATGCTTGCCTTTATAACTAACTATAAATACCTTTTTCCACTACTTCTGGAAGTCCATCTAGCTCATTGTCTGTGTTTTCCTGACCCAGCAGATTCTGACAGATATCATTCTTCCTTTTTTTTTTGGATGAAGTCTCTGACACGGGGGATCTTGGTTCTCTATTATCTTCCCTGTTGTCTTCATGTCTCTGCCTTTTACTTGAAAGCTTAGTAGTGTCTTCATCTGACCTCATCTCTTTGACACACCGATTGCTCACTGTTAACGAGTTATCTGAATTCAGCAAAGGAGTGCTAGCGGCATCACTTGTTAGCTGTTTCAGCTGAGCACTCAAACTGTCTTGTGTTTTTAGCATCTCATTTGCTTCCTCTAGTTTACAATGTTTAACAATTACAGAGCAGTATTTCTCCAAGTTCTCATTTGCTTCTCTGGTTTTCACTTCTGTAGATTCCTGTAATTCTTCCAGTTTTAACTTCATTTGTTCTGTAATGGCATTCTCATCAGCACCTTTCAAAGCAAAATATCATTATTCATATAACTGACCCCAAAAAAAAGCATAAATAAGAATTTATAATGGTCACACATAATTTAATTAATTGTACATGTTCTATAACTGTGCAACTATAAAAAAGAATAAGTGACAGTGTATAACAAAATCAGTAATAAGTTAGACATAATAATGTATTTGCTAAATAGAGAACAAACATGCAAAATTTGAGAAGAATCATTGAACAGTGCATGGGCAAACATTTTCCCTGTCAACTTTAAGTATCATTTACAATACAGTGCATCTCATGAGTTGAACCAAAATATAAAGAACAAAGCCTGAGAATCAGAGGAGAAAGCTTGCTGGAAAACAACAGAAGAACTTGTATACAAACTTTAGCTATTAAAATAAACACTTCCCTTCTACCTTAAGTAGTTTTTAAACACAAAAATGTAATATTTTAAAAAATATATTCATAATCCATAGATCTTCTTTAGGGAAAAAGTTTTATGAACTAATGCACTGCTAAGAAAACATTAGGATTGCATCTAGATTTGGTTACCTTCTTTCTTCGACATAGTTAGATTTGTCTTTTTTAATAGTTCATCATGTTCATCTAGTTGTTTCTGCAACCTTTCCTTTTCCTGTTCCATCTTCTTACATGATTTCATCAACAGCTCTGTTCTATTGTGGGCAAATTCATTTTCATTCTTCAGTTGTACTATAATGTTAATATTATCAGCCTACAAAACATGAAATGTAGTTATTACACCAGAAACATTATTCTTCCACTTAAACATTAAAATGTCAAATGGAAGCTCAACTGGTATGCAGTATTAGCTGTAGAGCATGGTTGTAATCTCTACGTGTTTTCTTGTTTCCATACAACCTCATTATAGCAGCTCCTTTAGTGCAGGAAATGTGAAAGTTTCCTCTTACTAGATGGGTACATACAAGCGATTAACTCAGCAGGAAAAACAAGAATTCAGATTCCAATATGGGAGACTTATTTTCTTGAGATATACCAACAAATTATGAATGTTCAGATAACTGATGTCAAGACTAGCATTCTCCCTATGAGAAAGCTTTATGATCTCAGAGACAACAGTCCTTTTTCCACCTGTTACCACTGCGTTAACATGGCATAAAAAAGTGCTGCTTTCCAGGTAACAAGTTTCAAACCAACACTAAAGTGCTCTCTCCTAATCTGAGTGTCTTTTATTCTTTTCATCCCTAACACATCTTATTACCACAAAGGCAAGATAACCCAGGCCTGCTCTGCTCTCTGAATTCCAGCTCTAAAATACCATTCTGAGCAGAAGCAGATCATTCCTTTCCACCCAGTTCCACTCTCCTGGGCTGCTCATCTGGCCTGGTACCAACCTGTGTGCAAACACCACACAGCAGGCACAGCTGGAAGCCCTGTATCTACAGTTACACTACTATAGGTACTGTTCTCTGTCACTGGCACACATCCAATAGTACTATATCATTGGACGCTGGTATTAAACAGATTAACACCACATTGGAGGGTCCTATAGAGTAAAGAACTGCTGAACAAGAGGAACCTATTACAAAGTCTTTACTTGCAAATAAATTGAACTATGTTTCTTCAAGAGTCCATTTATAGACATACTCATTCCTGAAGTGGGAGGACAGAGTCTGAGCCAGAAATCAATTACAGACAGAAGCAGGACAAAAAAACAAAACAAAACAAAAACTAGATGAGAGAAACACAAGGGAAATTAATACAGAAATTCAGTCATATGAACAGTAAAACTTCACCTGTGCTACTAGGAAAGCAAACCAAGCACATCTAGAACTGCACCCAGCTATCAGCTGTTCACAGCATGTGGAGCTCCTATTTTATCATCACTTAGAACAGTTCTGTAATTTAGAGAATTACACTAGTTAATAATTGTAATGAGAATTCTATATAAAATGGAACTGATAAACTCTCAAGAATTAAGAGCAATGTATCAAGACTAACACTTAAGACAGAACATGATATCTTTTATCAACAAAGCAATTTAGAAACAGAAAATAGAGGCACTGCAGAGTCCCTTTGATTGTATTCTAACCACGTTATTACCCAGTTGCAATGTTCAGTGCAGACGACAGACAGCTGTGTTTAGTATCACATAAACCAATTCTAGGTGATCTCAGTGCTGGCATAAGTAACAGAATTTTTCTGATGTAGATCAATAGTAACAATGTTTCCTCCATGCTCTATGTTCTCATTAGTGAAACAAAGGCTGTATGAAAGTTGAGCCAGAGCTGTGAAGCACTGGTTCCCATCCAATGTTTATTTCACTACACAGTGCCTTGGGTCTCGTGTAATTGGCAATGCTAACATATTTCTTTTTCTTACTTTAGTTTTTAGAAGTTCTCCTAGGGTTTGATTAGCTTCTTTGAGGGAATTACTTAGTTCTTCTTTATTTGACTTCAAATGCTCAATTTCCAATTTTTGTGAGATGATAAAGTGCTCCAGTGAATTCATCTTGTCTTGACAGGCCTCAATTTCTACTTCATTCTAGAGAAAGTGTGCCTAATTACTATGATACTAAAAAGGACATTGAGTTGCATTTTAAAGATGTACTTAAGAATACATCACAGCCCACAGGAATTCCACAGCAAATCTGCTTGGTGTGTTTTGAGGAGTTTAAACTGAAAGAGCAATTTGTCTCACATATACATTTTGAATACTAGAATCTTGTATCTAAGAAGTCTGCCATTAGAAAGCCCTTATATTTTACTATAATTTGTCTTAAATTTACTTTATATTCACAAGAATGAAAATTATTAAGGATCAATTATAGTAAATTGTTTGCCTGTGTCCTACTGGCCTCAAGTACACGTTCACAGACAGATACTTCTGCAGAAAAGATCATGGCTCTTTGTATGCAACGGTGGCTGACATATGCAGTTACAACAAATTTGCCTTTATATCCTAAAGTGGTTAATCTTTCTTCCCCATTCATACCAAAACAACCATTTCCTGACTAAAACATACTGTTGCTTTCCTTTTTTTCAGATGTATAGTCCCTGATAAATCATAAATACACTTAACACTTACTGAGTTGAGGTAAATCCACCTTTCACTGCTTGCTATATGGAATAAAGTTAATTTAATACTTAATGAGTTCCAAGGCAAGTATATAGAGTTCAGAAATACTGTTAGCAAAGACAATTTCATTTCCAATAGGATCAGCAACATTTTGTAAAATCCAGAGAATTTAATTAAAAATTAACGGCATCTTTCCTTTTTACCTTTTGGTTTGCTTCTGTCAGAGCATCCCGATGTTCTTTCTCTGCTTGAAGTAGTCTGTCTTTGTATTCTGACATTTCTCTTTTCATTTCACTTTCTTTTTCTTCTAGTTCCTTCTGGATCATCTCCAAACTTTTAGTCAGTTCATTTTTTTCTGACATAGTTTGATGCAGCTGAGTCTGTAAACAGTAATATACATTCTTTGGTATTTAGAATTTTCTCACTGGGGAAACAGTTACCTATTGAACTATTTAACTTTACAGCTGAGATGTCTTTGAATTCCCAGAAACAACGTAAGAAAAAAGTATTTAACACCGGCTAAACACACTATAGTCAAAGAATGGAGTATCTGGACACAAAAGGCAGGAAAGGAGGCAAAGAAGGGTCTTCTAAAAAGAAAAATTATGATCTGAGGTGTATGCTGAATGCAAGTTTGCCAACACTGTTAAATCAAGCAGCACTGCCAAAATCAAAGCTTGACCTCTCTAAACATTGTTCCCTCTATCAGGACTGGAGAGGTTGAGGGTCACTTTACTTACTCTAAGATAATAAAACTTTCTAAGCATTTTCATTTTTACTCACTTTTATAACGGTACTTTTTGGACAGCTGGCCTCTATTTCCATACAGGATTTCTGAAAGTTACAGAAATCTCCTCCCCCCACCCTCAAAATCTTCAACACCGCAACAGAAACAAGCCCCTAGTTATAAAATTTTGTAAATAATGTTAGTAGGTCAGAAGACCACTTAAGCTTGTTTAAAGAGATAATATTGTTCACAAGTGAGACTTTAAATTATCTAGATGGTAAAACAGCCTCCGAGAATTAAATATGTCACATTAAAATGAATGCTCTGAAACTGTTTATTTGACTTTGACCTGAAAGTAGTTATACTACTGAAACACTGAAAGTCATTTAGTTTTAAAACAAACTTGAGAAATGCCACATTTTTTTATCCGACTGCCTGTAATAGAATTTCTTGGCACTGAACAATTTCTGGATATCCATGTGAGGTCAAGAAAACTTAGTTTTGATAGAAAGAAGTTGGAAAAATTACTAACTAATCATCATTTTATCTCAGAACAGAACATTAAATTTTTAGAAATTTGGAAGCAAGAGCTTCTAATACTGTACATTAGCACAGTTCCCTTCAGCAACCTTCACACATTTACTGTACTTGAGTATCTGGCCTTGAACACATAAATACTACACGTGGAGTAACTAACTTTGTTCTTTTCTGAATGTTCTTGATGAAGTTGTATTTCTTCAGCAAGCTTGTTCCTTTCTGTGGCAAATTCTTCCTGTAATTTGGAAACTTTCTGTTCTGTAACATTTAGCTTGACTTGCAGCTCAATATGACTTTCAGTCGGTTCATTTACCTGAAATGAATTTTTCCATAATTATTTTTATTACATTTGTCATGACCTCCAAAGAATTTCCTTATATGCAACAAGCAGTTTTTAGGATGGGTTATTTTATTCCCATAGCTGGTCCAACTCCGAGCAAGAGTCACAAGGCTAATGCTGTTTCCACATAGCAAGCATCCAATTGTTGTTTCACTTTCTTTTGAGCTCCCAGGTACTTATTCTTGATATAAAAACCTCATTCACCCAATACTAATTTGTCTTTCGTCTTTTTGTTCTACAGGAAAGAGGAAACTATCCTGCACTATTTGATTACTTAAGCTTCTATACCTACTTTCAAGCAACCTTCCCATTCATCATACACAAAACAATGTTGTGTTTCCAGCTCTGTAACTGTATTGAGAACTTAATTTTAAAAATAGGATGCTTACTGTAAAAGTCTGAGGCTAAGGTTATTTTTAGGTATAATTTATTAAGGAAGTGGAAAGCCAGAGGATGCTTTATCCTCATTCCCTAAAATGGGAACTCTATCCCAAAGGAAATGGTATTACCTTTTCACATAAAATGTTCTTTTCACAAAGTGCAGATTCCAGTTCCTTCTCAAGGTCTTTATAAAACACTTTTAGAACATTCAGGATATCCGTAAAGGTTTCATTATCAGAAGAATGTTGCTCCTTCAGCTTCAACTCAGCAATCAAATTCTGCAGCCTTTTTTTTTCCTGGTGCCAATATTCATGCTGTTGTTGCAAGTGTGATAGCTCCTCCATTTCTTTCACCAGCTTTTGAAGAGCACCATTTTCCTGCACCTTTTCATTGAGTTTTTGTTTAAAATCCATCAATTCTTGAACAAGTACTTCCCTCATTCGACACAATTCTACATTTTCATTTTTTATTTCCTGACATTCCTGTAATAGCATTGTTTTATCTTGCTCAAGACAAGCCACCTGATTAATCAAGACTTGCTCTTTTGCTCTAGCATCTGCTTCCTCCTTGCAAGACAATTCTAATTTCTCACTTATATCTTTGAGCTCAGATTTCAGCAATACCACAGCATTTTCAAACTCATTCTTGATTTGCAACTTTTCTTCCTCCCTTTCTTCTAACAGTTTTGCTGTAGTCAAACTCAAAAACTCTAGTTCAAGGATTCTTGCTTGCTTTTCTTTTAAATCTTTAGCCAAACACTCTTTTTGTGAGGCAAGGACATCAATTTGTATGTTAAAACATTTCAGCTTCTCAGTCATCTCTTCCCTCTCCATTGCTAATGTTTCTGTCTCTGCTTTAGCAGTCTCTGACTGAATAATTGCATCTTCTAGATTTTTCTCTGACATCTCCAATTCTCTGTCAAGCCTCTCTATTTTATGCAGAAGAGAGTCAACATTCCGTTCATTCTCTTTCAGCTTTTCAGCAACGCGGTGGTTTTTCTTCTCATCTGATTCAATTTTTACTTTCAGCTTTTCAATTCCATATCGCATCTGCTCTACCTCTTTCTGTGCTGAGCTGAGTCTAGCACCAAGTTCACCTTTTTCCATTAACAAGCCTTCCAAAGATCTGGAAAGCTTTGAATTTTCCATTTCTGATGAACTTAATTTACTCTGCATAATTTCCAACTCTCTTACAATCAGCTCTTTCTCCTTCTTCAAATCTGCTGCTTCTTTTTGGAGTTTTTCTAAAGCAATAGACACGGCATCATCTCCTAAACTTTGCAGCTTCTGCAGAAGATGGTCTTTTTCATTTGATAATTTATATACATCAGATTTTGCAGTCTCAAGCAGATTTGTTTGTGTCCTCACTTCTTCCTCTAACTTTCTAATGAATTCAGTGGAATCCACGTTAGTTGACTCTAGTTCTTTAAATTTCTCTTGTAGCTTCTGATACTTCTGTTCCAGTTCTTTTTTATTTTCAGACAAAATACTCAGTTCTTGGCCAATATGCTTTCTCTCAGCTGTGACTGAAACAAGGTGCTCTTGAAAGCTAGAAATAGTTTTCAGGTTAACTTCCCTCTCCCTTTCTAATTGCTGACATTTTTCCTGAAGCATTTCAATATCACAGCCTCTAAACCAGGCATGGTTCTCAATATTAACTTGCTCAGATTTTGGACGACACTGTTCATTTTCAGCTGGAAGAAGTTGTTCATGACAATCTCTTGTGGTCATTTCTATGTCATCCAATGTGTCCACTGCCTTAGATAACCTAACTTCATGTATCTCCAGCTCAGCCTTTACGTTCTCCAATTCAATTGTCTGCTTTCTCAGAATGCTCATCCTATTTCCATTTTCTTTTTCCACCGATTTATTCTTTGCTTGCAAAACTTTAAGCTCTGTTTTGATTTCTTCCGTTCTTGATTCAATATGTTGTCTCTCCTCCTTGTATTTTCCAGACATTTCAGAAATTATTTCTTCTCTTTCCTTTAAACTGTTAGAAATATTTTTATTTGCTTCCACTAAAGTTATTTGTTCTTGCTCTAAAGCTCTGCTTAAGATCTTAAGGGTTCCATTTTCTTCAGTAAATTCCTCAGGTTTTTTGCTATATGAGCAAATCATTGAAGACACATCTTTCTTCTCTGAATCCCATGTTTCAGACATGAGCTTCTGCTGTCTTACTGAATCCTCAAGTGATTTATTACCAGTCTTTAAATCCTGAAGCTCAGTTTGTTGGTTTTCTAGTCTTTCATTCTGAGTTTGCAGTTGTGTGTCCTTTTCCTCAAGAACAGCTGAAGTTTTTTCAACTAATTTCTGATGTGCTGAAATATCTCCTTGCAAGTTACTAATGTGCCATTTAGTTTCTGTCATGAAGCTTTCATGCATCTGTTCTACATTGAATAATCTTTCTTCTGTTTCAACCTGTATTTGCAGTAAGTCTTTATGCTGCTGCTGGTTTGAATTCAGCTGGTTTTGAGCCACTAAGGAAATCTCAAGAGAAAAGATCTGATCTTGTAAAACGGTAAGATCCCCAGTTTTTTCTACTTCTAGAAGAGCTGTGGCACATCCATGATCTTCAGCAACGGAATTATTTGCAGCAAGTTGTGTATTATCTAAAACAATTTCATCCTGACCACTTTGTAAATTAACTTCTCCATCTTCTGTTGTTTCTGAAGTATCTTTTGCTTTTACAAGGCAACATACTTTTTCGTATTCAGCAAGCAGGTCCTGATAACATTGCTCCCTTTGCAGCCCTTCCCTTGCTGCCAACTGTAACTTTTCTTCTAGTTCACCAACTTGGTTGGTAAGCTGCAATATTTTACAGGACATATTTTCTATCTCTTTACAGTACTTTTTATCAGAACATTCTGCTTTCCACTGAAGTTCACCAAAAGCTTTTTTTTGTTCTTCTAATTCTGCACTTTTACATTGCAGTATGTCTTTAAGTTCTGTAATCTCTGTGCTTTTCCTGTCACTTTCAGTTTCCACCATTCTGAGTTTCTCACTATGCTCATGATTTTTGATTTGCTGACTTTGAAGGGAACTCTCCAAGTCATTAATATGAGTCAGCATACTTTGCTTTTCAGACTTAAGTTTATTTATAAGATGAACTTTTTCATTTTTCCATTGAGAAAAAGCAGTAGCCTCTTTTTGCAGTTCTTCACATTCTCTCTGCTTGAATCCAAGGAGCCTCTGCAAAGCTTCCAATTCTTCTTCCATTTTACTTATTTTACAGTTTTGTTCTTTAATATGATTATCTTTTTCCTTGAGCAGGTCTTGGGTAGACTCTTGTTGCTTTTCCATGTCAGCTAAAGCTATTTTCAGCTTCTCCAGTGAAAGGGAGCTCTCTTGCTTTTCAAATTTCTCTCCCAGTAACTTCAGCTCTGCTTCCTGAGAAGTATTCTTACCTGTAAAAGAAAACACCATCAAATCTTGGGCAGTCAATACCAGGAATTCTAATGATAATTTTCTAGATGAAACATTACTATTTACTTTTAGTATTTTCAATTCTCATTCCAGCGCAAAGAATTACTCTCAAGTTACATCACTGGTTAAAGGATTGTTTATATCACCTTAGGCTATCGCACACTATGTACTTATAGACATTGTGAACTTCCCACTCTGCAGCCTCATACAAGTTTACACTTCACAATGGTCAGTCCTTACTTCCCAGGCGTAAATTCCTGTTGTGCCTGTGTCTCACTTTCACCAAATATTTATACAAAGTACACTGCCTTTTTTTTTTTTTTTAAACAGGACAGGTCTTATTACAGTATGTGACCACCTTCTAGGTCAGTCTTATACTCTGTTTCTGCCAAAGAATGTCTAATTCTACAGTCATTTTCCAACTGGTCCTAATTTTTCCCTGCCTTGATAGGAACAGACTAAGAAACAAAGATAAGTATGCGGCTGGGGGGGTAAGGCTTTATTTTCCACTATAGTTAGCTGCTAAGGGCTGCAAATTTTCTATACAATCAAAACCAAATCATCAGTTCAAAAACAATGAAAAGTTTGGGCATTAATTTTAAGGAGAGTAAAATCAAATGTAAAAGTTTAATTTTGAAATCTTACACAGAATTTGATTGATGCACAGAAACAAGTGGGAACCTATCCCCCTTTTCTAGTCAGATCCAGTAGAGCTACAGGGTATATTTCAACTCAATTCCTGAAAAACTGCGTTCTCAATTAGAAAAAAAACACTGCGAGCAAGATGCAGCTATTGGTGGCTATGTAACATTTTCCTACCTTTTTTTTTTAATTCAGTGAAACATAAAAGAATTACAAAACAGAAGTTTTCTGGTTTAAATAGTTTCTATGAAATTCAGTTTACTGCTAAATTCAGTACATTTCAGTTAATTTCAAAATTGTGTATCTTCAGAAACTGTGTACATTCATAGACAAAAATTCATTTCTATTTAGGACAAACTTAATGTTGGTTAAAAACGTTAATCATATCCCAGAGTGGAAACCTTTCACTTAATTCACAATGAAGCCTACAGAATTTCAGGAAACATACCTCATTAAACATGTAACAGGAGTTCTGCAAATTTAAATACGTAACTCACTTTTCATTCCTTCTGCAAAATTTGGGCTCTGCTTTAGAGACTGCCTGATCATATTGAATTCTTCTTGAAGTTGGTGGATCTCTTGCAATTTTTTTTCAAGTTGACAGTCAATAAGGTTTTTCTCCTGTTTCACTTCCTAAGACAAAACCAAATAAGACCGTATTTCATGTGAATTGCCAAGATCAAAGAATTCAGTTCATTTAAATAAAAAGAAAGATACTCCATTAGGTCCTATTAAGTCTTTGGGCAGCTGTCTCTGGGTTCCTAGACACTGCTTGGGAACATAAGCTGAACTAGTTGACAGCATCTGAGAGATGCTGCCAGTTGACATAGTTAGCATGGCCCTTATTCGTGTAGAACAAACAGCTCCACGTGACCCACCCCAAACGGATCTGCACAGGACAGGGCATAACCTACAAAATCTGAGTTGATCGAGTTAGGCTACTTTCCCAAAGCAACAAAGGAAACAAATCTCTTCAACGGCATCAAAATTAATGAGAAATGTATAGATCAGATTTCACCTATTGTCTCATGTAGAGACAAGTTCTTTTTCCACTGAACATTATCATTATGGCAACACTGGTCAAATTTTATTTAAAAGTGTGTACTCTTTCAGAGAGTTGATTTGCCATTAAGAATATTTTCTTCCAAATAAATTGAATTTTTTAAAAACCCAGCAAAACAAAACACAAACAAAACTATGTAACTACACTGCATCTAGGAAGCCAAACAGCAGTTCTTTTAAGGAAACTAATCCTTTTTCTCCAAACTCCTGTGCTGCTGGACAACAGATGGCATGGAACTGGCATGGCCCAACTGGAAACAGGCCCTCAATTATTCATGCATTTACTACTAGCAGATGGGCAGCGCTTACAAAAGCCAAGCTCAAGAAATAGAAAGGTCTGGATGAAAAAAATTAAAAGCTTGCTGGCATGGCAGGCTTGGGTTTTTTGCAACAACATAAATAAATCACCCTCAGAACATGATTAAAATTGTCACTGTCACTAACAGTTACCATCCTTTCTACACATAGGCTTCTCTACCCACTGCTTAAAAAAAAAATAAATCCAGTCACATGTAAGTTTTAATGAAGAAAGTTTTCTAGTAATCTTAACACTAACTTTTCAAAGTAGTACAACTGTCCAAACTTCTTGCATTAAAAGCACCACACGCAGATGCAATACAAGTACACGAATTAAAACAAGGTTTATTAGAAAATCTAGAGTAATCTATGGAAACAAAACCAAATAAGTTTAAGCAATTAAAATGGCTGAAAGGTCCAATTATTTTGGTTTGGTCCAAAGATTGCCCAAGAAACAGCACTCAGCAAACCTCAGGAACCCATAGTTTAATGGACTAAGTGTCTGATAGTAACTAGCCATTTACGCTTTCCAAAGCTATAAGGAAAAGAATAAATTTGCTTTCAGTCCAGTTATCGATTCTACTTGTAGGATGTATTACTCAAGTTAGCCATTCTGCAACTGTTCCTTGAAAAGCAAAAATGAAACCAAAGCAAATCGCCAAACCTACATACAGGTAGTACTATTATTCTTGAGAAACTCTTCATGGGGCAGGCTTATGAGCAGTTTAGGGACTGACAGACCAATTTTTCCAAGAATAGTTATGGGCTTGCTTGCACCACCAAATTGTAAACCATATGCTAAGATGCCAGAACTGCTAAGCTGTTGAGATACCACCTTGCAAAGTTGCGTAGTCCCTAGACTAAGCATATCCTGTATGTGTATCTACTTTGCAACTTTTTTGGAACACCTGTCATATTATACACTAAGGACTAAACACAGCAGTGCATTAACCAGCAGAAAACAATTGTATTCTCTACTAAGTAGTTGGACCATGAGCCTAAGACTACAAAAATTTCCCTTTGATAAAGGAAAGAAATGCTAATCTCACTCTTGTTTGCTTTTGCTGTAAACAAAATCTATTGTCAACAAAGCCTTCAACACTTCAAAACAATTCAATGTAATTTTTTGCATTATACTTATTTATGAAAATGAGGAAATACGAGGCATACCCTAAGTTCTGCTGACATATACCACGCTTTCTCATGTGCAAGTCTTCGGATAGGAAACTGTAGTGCTACTGATATCTTCAAATATTACAATCTCCCCCAGATTAAGTTTCTTTACAAATTTATTGGTCATGTTCTAATACAACATCACCATCCACAGCTGTACAGTTGTCTGACTGAGAAACAAATACGAAGTGAAAAATCTGACTACAGCTACAGTCTAGTAAGATGGATACAAGACTGGTAGATAAAAGTAAGCACTCCCAAGAATTTGCAGCAAAAAAGATCTTTCCACAAATTAGATGCTCTCTGACAATGGGACCTCAAAAAACTGCGTTCAAATCTGACTGGATCACTCCATAATTTCAAAGCCAGAAACGGCATGAGCCCACAGTATCTAATATAAACCTTTTTTTTTAATTATTTTTTTTTTTCCTAAAAATATGAACAATTACACTAAGAATGTGCAGAAGCTTGATGGAGGCTTTCCTCCTCTGGGATACATTGGAAGAACAAAAATTATCTTGATTAGTCTTACCACTGGAGGACACCGGGTACATTTACTTCGTAAATAGGTTTCAAGGACCGACCACTATCTGGCATCGCGGCCAAGTGGCCTGGAACAGCCCAGATCTGTACTACTAAAGTCTTCTATCTTCCAAAACAGGTGGCTCTAACCAAACCACTTGCTGGGAATGGTCCCAGGCTCATGTGCGCTCCCAGACTGTGCCTGGGAATTGTATGAAAGAGTGCTAGTCATCTGGGCCAAAGCCATGAGAAGTGCTGTTCTAAAAATTAACAGTATTCAGAGTCACATTCCAGTAGCTGGGAATGTTCCCAGACATTGTAATCTACCTAAAGTTTCACAATATACTAAAGCAGTACCCATGTTTGTGTTGATCTGAACTAACCCCACTATTTTAAAGTTGTTCATAGAGTGTAACAAGTAAATTTTGGGGAAATATTATGCCAGAATATTTTATATCTGCTCAGGCAACAAGCAAAATAAAAGTGTTTAAACTGTGACATGGATTACATGGGTAGTGAGCTCCCTTTATTTTTTCTTCTGATTCTCCAAATAAAGGATAAAATTTGCATTGAGAGATCTCTAGTGGCAAAACTAACAACTTCAAGTATAGCTGCTCTAGCTGTCATCAAAGCAAAACAACATAACTGAGAAGACAAAGGATACATTAAAGTGAAAACATTTCTGCATGTTTGCATATGAAGTTGTATGGCAACATCCAAAGACTTCTCTGAATTTATCTTAATTTGGGGGAAAGTTTTTACAGCCATGTATATTTGTTGGACTGTGCTTCCTCTAAGAAAAATGCATCTTTAATTTTATTTTTTTGTAAAGAGTACGTATTAAGTCTTTGTAGAAAATCTCTGAGTTTGGCACTGTGCATCAAAGCACTAGTCAATGATTCTAGAATTTACTTTTAAAATCAGACAAGTATTGATATATTTTTATTTCCGGATCAAAAGCAATAATCTCTTGAAACAAAAACCTGTTTTTGACAAAAGTTTAACTTTTGACAAAAGTTAAACATGATCTAGAACCATACCAGCAGCTGTGAATCCTAACCATGCAGCCAGTTCCTCAAATTGCATTAATCTACATGACACTAGTGAACACCTAATTTTGTGTTACAACTAAGATATGTTATTAACGATAATCGATAAAAGTGTTTAAAGATTTCTTAGAGGAAAATACACTCTGTGAGTGAACGCCTGACAATGTTTACAGATTACCAATTTATGCCATTAATTCTATCAACTACTCCTCTGCATTGGTTACCTCAAAGCTTCTTGTCAAATCAATTTCCTTTGCCTGGGCTGCTAATAAAGCCTGCTCTGCCCTGCACAGCTTCTGGGTGAGATCACTGGTATCATGTTCCAAGTGTTGTTTCACTGCCATTACCTGTAAGAACGTTGAAAATTGACATTGTATTCACAGGTATATATGACTTTCTTTTTAAAAAATTCCTGTTCTTGAACTCCAACATTCTATTGCAAAATAAAACAACATTATTTTATGCCACCATGAAGCTATGGTTGCTTTACTGTGGTTTAGAAAATAGCTCTTTATTGCTTTTCCACTTCTTTGCCTGTGACAAGAAAGATGGTATGTCTCTCAAATACATATATTTCTAGATTGTCTGAAATTGGACTAATACATCCAACTTGCAGATACATCACCGCATTACCTGTAGGATACAAATGAGATTGAGAATGTAATAGCTTTTTTGCTAAGCTATGAGAATCAGAAAGTGGGGATCATAACTGCACTTACTGCTCCATTGACACAGATATTATAAAAACTGAACAGGTTTTAGCTCTTTCAAAATAGCCTTATAATGCTCCAGATTTAAAAGGAAGAAAATGCCATTATCAAGTCAAAAAGGAAAAAAAAATTATTCTGAGGTCATTAGGTAATAAATTAGCTTTCTTAGAGAAAGAACTAAAAGAAACTTATTTTTCTGTCTATGAAATCAATTTATTCAGTAAGCATATACAAAAGAACGTGCATATAAAGAAACCTCCACTGGAAACATTTGACTGAATGTATTCCCATGGCTATATTTCTAAAATAAAACAAGCCTGCAAGAAAGCAATTGTCAATTTTAGAAATGCTGTTTCAGTTCAGGCTGGCTTCTCAATATATCTTTCAAAAACTTGTGGCCCTTTTTAGAAATTCAGTTCGCTCTGCTGCTTTATAGCTGCTCTCAGGAGTTTTTTGAGGTTTTTAAACGTTCTTATTTTCTGGTCTCTTCACTCTTCAGGGTTGTGCTGCTTTCTAAATTCCTCAAATCGTGGTTTTGTGACAACTAACATTTCAATAGCAGTTGCTGTGAAAGCTGTGGAAGACATCCTTCATACTGATGTTCCTCCTTACACAGGCCCTGACACTCATCTGGTTTTGTGGAGAACCAGTTCAGGGAGTTAAACCAATAGCAAACACTTGTGCCTGTGTACACAGATGCCAATTAAGATATATATTTTTTTTCTTTGCTCTTTTACAGAAACACAGAATCACAGAATGATATGGCATTGGAAGGTACCTCTGGAGATCACCCACTCCAAGTTCCCTGCCCGAGCAGCTCCTCCTAGAGCAGGTTGCACAGGAACGTGTTCAGGTGGGTTTTGAATGTCTCCAGAGACAGAGACTCCACCACCTCTCTGGGCAGCCTGTTCCAGAGCTCTGCTACCCTCAAAGTGAAGAAGTTCCTCCTTATGTTTAGATGGAGCTTCTTATGTACAAGTTTGTGCCCATTTCCTCTTGTCCTGTCCCTGGGCACCACTGAAAAAAAGACTGGCCCCATCGTCTTGACACCCACCCTTTAAGTATTTATAGCCATTGATCAGATCCCCCCCTCAGCCTTCTCTTCTCCAGACTAGAAAGACCCAAAGACTAGAAAGACTCAGCATTTCCTCATAAGAGAGATGCTCCAGGCACCTAATCATCTTTGTGGTCCTCTGCTATACCCTCTCCAGCAGTTCCCTGTCCTTCTTGAAGAATTGGAGAGCCCAGAACTGGGCACAGTACTCCAGATGGGGCCTCACCAGGGCAGAGTAGAGGGGCAGGATGACCTGCTTCGACCTGCTGGTCACACTTTTAGCACCTGTATCAGCTCTGTGCAGGGTCACAAAAGGGGTAGCACTCCTAAAGAATTAACAGGACTGCATGGCCAGGGTGTATGAAATGGGGCTGTTCCAAAGGGCAACTACCCATTGATCAGTTTAGCTCCATCATCAAACTGCAGCTCTGCAAGTTTTCTTTATGAGATGTCTCTTGTGATCAGCCTTAGCTGTTCCTTTCTCAAACAGATTTATTTTAGCTGTGTTGTTCTGCATTCCTATCTCCTCCCCTGTGGAAAATGGACTAGCCCCAAAATGTAAAAGCCCATAATTCACATTTGAATACCCAGCTTTTCAGTCAGAAATAGTAAATACAAAACAGCTACTACAAACTGTACAAAACATTAATTTTTTGCTTCATGTGTAGTGAAATTATGGCACTACTGCTGATACAACTAAATAGCAGCTCTAGTAGATGATGTTAATATAAAAAAGCCTTCTTAGTGAAATTCTGCCTGCAGAGCATTGAAGTCATTTTTGGCTTGCTCTAGCTCCTGATTCTGTTTGTTTCTTATCTGGTTGCACTGCTGATTCAGTGTTTGCAAGGAATGTTGCTGACAAGAGAGTTCCTAGAAAACAGTGGTATACAGGCAAATAAACAAACACGTAACTGCAACAAGATTCTGTTTTGGTTACTGGAGCACTAACAACTGATTTTCCTTAGCAGATACTGCCTGCTCAGAGACACTTGTTTTACGCAGTGAACAACAGTTTAAAACCAACTTTGATGCTGCTGCCAATGTCATGTGAGCAAGGCCCTAGCCTGATTTATGTCATCGGTTTAAAAACTCCATTACAGCAACATTCTTATCACAGAACGGGGCAAGGGGATATTCTTAAAACTAGTGAAAGTAATGGTATGAAAAGTCTTCATCTTAAAGATAATTTTCATATAATTATTGCATAACACTACAAATGGACAAAATCACCTCTGCTATTATTTACTTATTATACTATAGGGTTAATTTTTTTTCTAGGAAAAAAAAAGTCTTAAAATAATACAGAGCATGAGACTGAGCAACAAGATAATCTTACAAGGGCAGTGGTGAAAACTGCACCAAAAAATAGTGTTCCCAAAACAGACTTTCTGAGATTTGTAGGAGGACAATATAGTTTGTGTGGAACTTACGACGTGCCAAGTAGGCATCCATTAGGATAAACAGATGTACTTGTTGTTTCTCATGAGGCCTGTTCTAGGAACAGGTGCCTTTGGACCTTATAATTACGATTCTGCACAGCTTTCAGAGTTTATTAGGATGTAAAACAATAAGAGGCATGAGCATAATAAAAAGTAATGAAGGAAAAAAACAAAGTATTTATCAGCAATAATTGCTATGCAAAAGTTGCAATATGCTCTAAAAAATTCCAAGATCCTTGTGAAGGGCAAAAGGCAATCAATAAAGCTCTTAAAGCTCTTGTACTTCCCTTATTAGTTTTAGAGTATAGGTGTAGTTACTTCATACAAGCAAGCCACTTCATAAAAAGACACAGTACCATACTGTCACCAGTCAAACAAAACAAATCAAAACAAAAAAAAAAGCCAAAACAAAAAAAAACCCAAACAACAAAAAAAACCACTAAAAGAAAAGAAAGTTCAGAGTGAAGGAACTAGAGCTGACATCTTCTGCAAGGGGACTCTGGCTCCCAGGTGCATGAACCCCCTGCACACAAGTCAGCAGATTTTAGTCAGTCGTATCTGTGAAATGCTGCCAGCACCCCTTACATTCTGCTCGAGAGTGAAGGCAACACAAGAAGCCCAAGCAATTCCTTCACCAGTAAAATATCCAGTAAACAAACAGCTCTTGTTTATCAGGGAAGGTAGGAAGGGTATGGAACTGTTAAAAAAACCCTGAAAGATCATTGTTAAAATATGTGTGTATATATATAAAAAAATATAGCATTTTTCTACACAGAACCCCATATAAATAAGTTTGCAATTGCATTTCCACACAAGAAGGTGACAGAAGAACTATAAAATTTAGAAAGGAAAGATGTGACACCAGCTGGGTGTCCCAGTAACTGACACTATTAACTAATGCTGAGTAAAGCACATATTAGCTCCAAAGAGCTCTTCTGTGAACCTCTGGTCAGGAGCATTTCCTGAGCTCATGGAAGGAGGACCCTAGTGCACTCCTTATTAATGAAATGATGAATTAAATTTCTTTATGTCCCAAAGCATTCCAGTAATTATTTCTAAATCTGATGGACTGCTTTCTAAGCCCTGCATGTTACAGCATAAGAGAGAAACTGCAGAAAACCTTTCTTTCTTTAGATGAATGCTCAAAAAACAGTAAGTGCTTCCTCAAGTTTCAGATGTCAAAAAAGTAGTCATCCACATCTAAGCTAGAAGTGGAGGCTTCTTCCATTCCCAGCAGGCAAACACCCACCTCCAGAGTGAAGACCCACATCTAAGATACCTGGAATAACCTGCCTTCCAAAGGTGCCTGTGTCTCTGCAGAGAAGCCTAAGGAGCAAGCTTAGACTGACACCTAGATTTCAGATGTCTGAAGTGAGGTGATATGAATCTCACCTTTTCAATTTGAAGCTTGGATGAAAACATTTCAACAAAATTTGAAAGAAAACATTGAAAACTAGCCCTGATACAAGTGCAACTCTAAGACTAGCCTGCGCTACCATCTCAGAACAAGGCACAGAGCTTTTCAGGCCTGTCTGAAAGTTCATGACATGCATTCCTGGATCTCACCTGCCTCCTAGAAACAGAAATGTAATAAGGAACACACCAGCAAGGCTTTATAGGATGGAATTCAGTAGGACCAGCACCAGCATCTAGATTTGACAGAAGAGAAGAATCACTCCCTAGGAAAATGCACAGATCACAATTTCCACAATACGACACAAATTTGGATTCCAGAATGTGTAAAATGGAGCCTTCAAACTGGACTTGATAGCCCAATATTATAAATAAATGAACATTAAACAAACTTCATAAAAGCCTTGCAGATCACAAATGTTACAGAAGATAGTTCTTCAAAGTTAATGACCTTGCTGACCAACCTAGCATGACTGACACTATGTGGATTTACGTATTAGTCTTATGAAGGCCTTTTTGTCTCTAACTAAAAATAAATATTACTTCACAAGAACAGTTCCTGTGCACAGCATCTAAACTGCCTGACATCCAAGCTGTCAGCTATTGAGACAAGCTCTAGCAACAAACAACCCAAGTGGAGGATGTTGTGCTGCTTCTCTGGAAGAAAGTCACAGAAATACCATATTCTTAAATGACAGCGCTGAACAGAGTGCCAGTGCCTAATGGGCATGCGTCAGGCATAGCAGAGCCAGTATGGACTAGGTTTCTAAGGATAAATCACAGCATAAGGTTCATGGGCCTTCAGCCCATCTTTTGATGAATACAATGACTGATTTGTATCTTTCAACAGTGTTTTTTTCATGCTACAACTATTCAAATACAAAAGTCAGTTCTTCTTTTGTACCACTTCTAGACAAGGTTTAGCATCTCTTTGAGATCCTGGGTTATCTAGACTAACAGACTTTGTAAAACTAGTTTTTCATTCAAAAGCAGTGGTAGTAGCACTGTTCATATTGGCCACTCCAGCAGAATTCCTCTGCCAATTACTTTAACTTTCTGGATATACCTTGGAGAAAAGGTGGCAGTTTAAACATTTGACACAACAGCATTCTTCTTCAGGGGAATACCCTTACCAAATCCCTAAAGCAAACTTAAAATGCCCATCTGAAATGGCACTGTCAAATCAATGTCTTGGATTTCCTAAGACTGATGATGTTATTAAGCTTAAAAGGAAAGTACAAAGAGTTTAGACCTAGTTCAAATCAGTGTTAAAGCTAAACATAACTTCACTCCAGAAAAGTTCCTGGGATACTGTTTTACTTTGCCTCTCCACAAGAGCTGCATAAAGGAAACAAAAGACACTTATGCTAATATTGCATTTTATCTCTTCTAAGCATAAACCAAAATTAGAATAATAGAGATATAATCCTAAAGAAATTATTTTCTCGTGTGTGAGATGCATGAAAAATTAACTCAGATTCCACAGAAATAACTGAGTCAGTTACTAAGTTTGAACCCACATATTCATGATTCTGTGAACAATTAAGCCCAGTTTCTCATGGATTTGTATCTCAATTAGGTCTTACACGTTCTCTACTGTCTAGTGAATATTAACATAACTCTGTGTCTCTCCAACAAGCCTCTCCTCTCTATTGGGATGTTTGTTTTCAGTTTTCCAGTTACCTTTGCAATTACCTCTACAAATGTGACTGCAATTAACTGAAAAGTAGATAGACAAAAGAAGCCATGCGATTTCTTTTCCTCAGGCAGTCAAAATTTAAAAGTCCTTCTCTTACCTTACCTGTTGGTATTCCTCATCCTTTTCCTTTATTTTCTGTTCCAAAGACTCACAAGCACTCTCAGCATTTTGTCTTTGGTGATTCAGTTCTTCTGACAATCTTTTCACCTTTTGTTCCATCATTTGGGCCTATAATAATATAGTTATCAATCACAAGTGTTACAAATGCAAGTGATGTTTTATTTAAATGTATGTGCCTTCATAAAAGACTGCTTTAATGTATTATAATTTTTCTAGCATTCATATAATATACAGCGTAACTTTAACTAGTACCATATAAACTATTAGCAAAACAAAGTACTAAATTCATACTTGCTTGTGTTAGCGATAATACTGTATATATAAGTATATATATTCTCTCTATATATATGTTACTTGTGTATATATACATATGTGTGTATACACACACACAAAATAATAAAACATTTTCAGAAAATCAGTGTCTTTGAAAGTCTACAGAAATGTACTGTATCTGACACTAAAAATAGATTATATTTTCAATACCTCAGGTTTCTGTGAACTAAAGAACAACCAGTACCTGCTAAACAACTACACATTTAGACCGAAAATAACTGGATATTCCACTGAATTTCAGAATGATTCAGCACATTGAATTGGATAGGAAAAAGAGGCAGCTATCTTAGTCTACTTCAACAACAAATAGAAGACTGCTCTTCACAATTTAAACTTTAATTAAAAAGATAAATATATCAGTAGTCTATGTTCTAGGTTAACCTCCACATTAAGAGTACATTTGTCAAATGCATGAAAAAGGACTTTAGCTAGGCAATGCAACGAGACTAATCAGGAAAAAGAGAAAACCTGCTTATCTTCTGCAGTTTGAATTAAACACTTTCATTTTCTTCTTCGCATGATTATGAGCAAAAATCTCAACCATTTCATGGTTTTTTATGTATGTATGTAAATACACTCTGTAAATTCTTGACTGAGCAAATAGTACTATCCCACTGTTTTGTTTTTTTTACTATGAATCCAAACTCCTTAGGATTAGGTCATGAAGGCCCATTTAGAAACTACATAGATTCTCCATCTTGCGTGGCATTTTTACCCAGATTTTCTTTCACACAAGTAATTTACAATCCAAAGACTATGCCCCCACAACATCCTGTAGTATAAGCAACAGATACTGATTTTCAGCCAAAGTTGCATGACAGAGTCTATTTAGGGTCAGAATTTGCCACAAGATGTCATTGTTGCTCTATGGAACTTGATCAGAAAATATTTTTCAGAATTCCAGTCACTCTTGCCTCAGGGTGAAAAATATTTCTTCAGGTGGTATAAGAACCTTCTGGAAAATGAGTATTTACATTTTTACAGGTAATACATATCAAACTAATATATACTTCTCAAAACTTGGGCCTCAGCAAATGCTCAAGAAACTTCTCTGAGAGCCTTGTTTCTTACTAAAATGGCTGAAAACCAACAAACGTTAATACTGGGAATGAATTGTAGGGACAATCAAAAGATGTGTGAGGCAACATTTTACCTGTGTGGTAGCTTGATCAAGTTCTGTTCCTATGTGAGTCAGTTTTTCTCTGTTTTTGCTGAGAACTTTATCCTTCTTTGTTAATTCCAACTTCATTCTGTCCAGCTGCAGTTCAGTCTCTTGATGTTTATTCATATGGGATTTCTTCACTTTTTCTTGAGCTTGCAGTTCTATTTCTTTAACAGTGGAACTTAACTCTGAATTTTAAAAACAGTAAAGATTAAAGATACTTTCTTCTTTGAAAGGTCTTCCAGGTACTCAAATTTCCAAGTGTCTACACATTCTAAAATATTTAGTATGTTTGATAAGAACGCAGGTTCCTGACACACAGAACACCCTGTAAAACATTCAGCAAGCTAAAACAAAAGTTTCAGCTCTCTTATACTGCTGCATCAATGACTGAAACTATCAAGATTGAAAGATAGTTGACTCTAAATCAATTTCCACTTCGTAATACAAGAGAACACAGCAAAATGCGAGGTCAGGCACAAATGCTGCAAAGGCAAAAACCCTGTTCTTCTGCTGGTTTGTTTTTGTGGTTATTTTTAAACACACAGAAACATGTCACCTGACATATCTATTTTAATTTTTTTAAAGGAAAGATATCCACTACAAACATTTGTTTTGGGCATCTGTAAGCCTCTCCCTTCCAAGAGGCTTCTCAGCTACTGAGTATCTGTTAATACAGTATTTTATGTTTTAATCTTTTGCCTCTCCCAAAGCAGCATACATATAAAGTGAAACCTACTGATCTTGTCACAATATATGTCAGGAGGAGTTTACCTTCCAAAAAATCACAACATAATTTTACAGTAGAAAAAATTATTTTCTGGTAATTCTTTGTTAAAAAAGACCAACCCTGTCTTCCTGATGTTGAATTTATATGGCTTCCAAGTTGAAAATACCACCTAGATTGAAGTTTTACATGTAGGTGTTTGAACAGTTTAGTACAGGAATTTGAAAAGCAGTCCTCCAAGAAACAGTTAGTTGAAAAGCACGTCCAAACAGTAGGCTTAAGCAGGCTTATGTTTACCAAATCCACAACAAACCAACTATTTGCTCTCTTCCAACTATCAAATATCAAGAATGAGTATTTCTTCATGTCAGTATGCTCAATTCAAGATCTTGCTTTTTTGTTGTACTTTTTGCATCATACTTTATTCCGTGCTTCAGGACCATCCATTAGGGACCAACTCAGTTACGCATTAAGCATGTTCAATCAATAAATTTTTAATACAGGTATTGCTCAGCCATAAATCTCAATATACATAGAAAATTAAGGAAGCAATATAATTTATCAGTCAGATGTAATGAAATCCTGAAGAGTTTTTAAACTCTGTTTTAAGAGAATTATTCCATGAACAACGGAATTATTGGAGAAGGCCATTTTCCATTTATATGATGTCTCCCCTCTTACCCCAAAAATACAAACTCCTCCCTTCTGACTCTCACACCCCTTTACGTAAAAGATACCATGGCTTGTGAATAATCTCTGTGTACAGGCTGATCATTGCAAACACACAGACCAGCAGCCAAATAGGCAGCTGCCAAAGGCAACAACAGGTATCTTTCTCTTTTCTTCCCTAAAGCACTGATTTCAATACCTCTCTTCTATCCACACACCAGCTTTCATGAAACCATATAGGAGACTCCCTCTGCATTTTAAAGAAATGTATCAGATACCTTGGTTCTGTGCTGTTAGCTGGATCGTGAGTGAAGAATTACAATTCTCAGAAAAACAGTTGTTGAACTTGTTTTTCTCCAACATTATACTAGAATTTGTTTCCCATGGAAAAGAGGATGTTGTATAACTTCCCCTTGCAGGTGTTTCTTGATTTTTTGATGGTGTCTTTTCTCGTTGCCATGAAAACACAGATGAGGAAGCCTGATGCCATGCAATCTCCCTGTGACTCAAACAACTTTGAGGGTGAGGCTGATTTATTTCCTGTGTCCAAGAGAAAAAAAGATCTACATTTACACAGCTCCATATCTAACATATAACAAAATAATTAATTAATAAGTAGATAATAGGTTGTGATCATTTCACATTTTTATAATATCACATCATCCACCAGTGCAAACTACTGATTCACATAACTATTTTTTTACACTACATAAATTAAATAAGTTTTACCCAAGTATCTAAGAATAGCTGATAGTCATAAACACTAACCAGGATCTCAAAAAAAGTAGTTCAGTTTGCGTATCTTTATAAGTAACACACAGTTTTTTGTCTTTTCAAGAGAGATACCATTTTTTAAAATTGAAGCCTACATTTTTACAGGCAAGTGCTGATACAACTAAGCTGCAAGAAATATGGAAGTTTAGACTAACATATCTGATATCTGACCAACATTTAGTTCTTCTGGACAAACACAGGTAAATTTATGTAAACTTATACACACAGTATATCCCAAAATTGCAATAATAAAATATACCAGGTATTAGATTTGAACCTCTTCCTACAGAAAAACTAAACAGAGCCAAAATACTAGATGTTTGTTTTTCTTTAAGTGAAAAAGAAATTCAAACAGTAAAGCCCCTAATGTATTTTACCTGTACTTTCAAATGCCTCTCATTTGAATTATTTCTTTTTAAAAAATAAAGCCCTAAACCAGGTAATAGCCAGTGTGCCTTCTCAATCCAACCAGGGAATATGTGTTATGTAGAAATAGCAGTGCTAAGACCAGAAATCTATTTAGTCCAGAATGCTGTGTCAAATCCTGTAAAGTAATTTGTTTATAGATAAAGAGCATAAAAATCTAACCATGAATATAGTAATCATTTCCCTTATATGCCATTTAAATTTACAGATTTTCTGAGACAAGTTTGAATCCAGGAAATTAAGGGGAATAAATAATAATTTTTACTGTAATACTTTACTTGTGCTTCCTCTTTTGAACCTCTTTGTGTTTTGGGAAATACTCCGTGACAAAGCAGAGTTCTACCATTTAACACACTACACTGTAATAAAATAGTATTTGTTGCAAGCCTGGAGAGCTGGTGCTGTAATTATGCCTTATGAAAAGTAGGAAGAGGACCATTCTGTTTCCTTTCTTGATCCTTGCTCATCTTTGTACCATCCCCTTCTACCATATCTGTTTGGAGATGAACAGAATTTGCAAGGATTATTCAAGATGTGAGAGCCATTGGGCTATATATGGGCAAGGAATATTTTCTCATTAGTTCTTAATTCTTTTCATAAAAAAAAAATATTTTCATTGTTGCTGAACACTATAATGAACTTTTCAGAGAACAAGCTGCAGTTATTACTGAATTACTTCCTACACACATTTCATTGAATTTGGAATCTGAATGCTCCCAGTATAAATTGTTCAGATTACGTTTTCCAGATGCATTACATCACTTTTTTTTTTAGGCTGAATTTTACTTACCATTATTGCAATTATTTAATATTACAAAATATTGTGTGGTCTTCAACTATATTTTCCAGATCACTAATAAATATGCTGAATGGCATAGCTCTCTTTACCAATCCTTCTCAGGCTCCACCGTTGATCACTCTCCAAGCTGTAAAAACTGACCATTTATTGCCACTGCCCTCAATCTTTATATTTGCAAGACCTTGTCCCCCTTATCAAAACTGTTTCATTTTTTCAGTGTTTTGTGGATATCCAACAAAATTATACTGAGTCAGATTTAATTCACACATTATCTGATTTATTCTAAAAAAACCAAAAACTCTAAAAATATGCAAGATATTATTTCCCTTTACAAATAAATGGTTGATCTTTTCTCCATGCACCTTACCTAAATATGCATCAATAAACATATTGCTTTAAGTTTCTAAAAATTTGCCCAAGAAAAAAAGTTGGCCTGACTAAACTACACTTCTAGGAATCAGCACAGTCAACTTTTTTTTTTTAAAAAAAGACATCATCCTCACCACCTTCCACTGTCAAGAATGAAATAAATTGCACATCACAGAGATCCAGCAGTCCTCCACTGTAGTACCCTATCAATTTACAGGTAAATATTACCTCTATCTGGTGATTGGTTTTATTACTGCTCATTTTATCTATCTATTTTAAGACTACTTCTGACTTTTCAATTTGAGGCTGTGCCACAGATTCAACCCCAATAAAGAAAGGCTCTGATACAGAAAACCTTTTAAGCCTTTAGATAGTAAATTTAAGTAGCATGTGAGGTGTCTCGAGCACAAGTCTTATGAGGAGAGGCTGAGGGAACTGGGTTTTTTTAGCCTGGAGAATAGGAGGCTGAGGAGAGACCTTATCGCTCTCTACAACTACCTGAAAGGAGGGTGTAGAGAGATGGGCATTGGTCTCTTCTCCCAAGCAACAAGTGGTAAGACTAGAGGAAATGGCCTCAAGTTGCACCAGGTGAGGTTTGGATTGGATATTAGGGAAAACTTCTTCACTGAAAGGGTTATTAAGCATTGGAACAGGCTGCCCAGGGAAGGGGAAGTGCCTGAATCACCAACCCTGGTGGTATTTAAAAGACAAGTAGACCTGGTGCTTAGGGACATGGTTTAGTGGTGGCTTCAGCAGTCTTAGGTTAATGGTTGGACTCTGTGATCTTAAAGGTCCCTTCCAACCTAGATGACTATGATTCTAAATACCAAATAAAAAATTATTTCAGCTTTTCCACAATGGCTTCTTTTTCCTTGAGCGCTTTCAGATCTTAGTCATCTATTGGCCTCAAAAGATTCCCCAATACCATTCCTACTATTTATGCATTTGAAAAATGTATTAGTTTTTATTTGCTAGGCAAGTTATTTCTCACAGTCTTTTCAAGGCTTTTTTATTATCCCATCATATTTAACTTGGTGATACTGACACTGTTTTTTCCTGTCCTTGCACAAGACTTCCAGTTTTTAAAGAATGTATTCTTATTTTTAAAGTTCTTCTTTCCTTTGCTATTTAATTATGCTGCTTTTCTGGATTCTCCAAGATCAATGAATGGCAATACACGCAGATTAATTTTCTTTTCCTTTTTTTAAAAAAAAAAATTATACTTTAAGTGATGTAGAATATATTTCACTAGTTTTCCACTCCATTTTCCAAGTTCACTCAGCAGTTACTTTCTTAGATATCACACATACCATTCTCAGGAGATACGTACCTTAACCTGGATGGTTCTCAGTTCTAATTCTAGCTTTTTTCTTTCTTGTACTTCTTTCTTGCATTTCTCTTCTAGTTCTTCAAACTTAGCATCTATAAAGACATGATGAATACTTCATAATCTAACTTAGTACATAGGTAATCTTTTCTAGACTATTACTATCACAGGAATTATAAAAATGAACAGCTATCAGAAATGTCAGGTCACGGGGAAGAAGCAACTGTATATATAGTACGTTCAGTAATTTAGGACCTCAAAAAACACTGATATCTGGAACTTGACATAAGAATGAAAACACAACTGTTCAAAGTAAAGATCCAATGCCAGAATTTTGTTTAATCTCACTCTTTCTCTAAAAAAAAAAGTGTGTATATGCATAACATATATATACAGTTTTAAAAATAAATACGTAACAGATGTGCTACATTGTATATACATACACATATAGATTATATAAGTCTTTTTAAAAAGTTTCCCTACCAGCAACACAATAGCATTAATATTACTAAGAAATGACTACAAAATAATGCTGGATCTTTTCATAGAATGGGTTGAGTTGGAAGGGACCTTAAAGATCATCAAGTTCCAAGCCCCCCTGCCACAGACAGCGACACCTCCCAGTAGACCAGCTTGCTCAAAGCCCCATCCAGCCTGGTCTTGAACACTTCCAGGGAAGGGGCATCCACAACTTCTCTGGGCAACCTGTTCACTGTCTCATCACCCTCACAGTAAATAATTTCTTCCTGATATCTAATCTAAATCTTCTCTCTTTCAGTTTAAAACCATTACCCCTTGTCCTATCACTACACTCTCCTACACTTGAGAGGTGTGAGGAGAGAGGTTGGCAGTGAAGACCAAGGCAGAAAAGTTGTTGAGAACCTCAGCATTCTCTTCACCTGCTGTTACCAGTTTGGCATTCTTGCTCATCAGGGGGGTACGCTTTCTTTAACTTTCCTTTTCTGGCTGATATACCTGTAGAAGCCCTTCTTGTTATTCTTAGCATTCCTTGACAGGTTCAGCTCCAGCTGTGCCTTGGCCTTCCTGAATTCATCCCTACATAACCAGGCAGTGTCCCTCTACTCTTCCTACAATTCCTGACTCTGCTTGAACTGCCTGTGCAGCTCCTTCTTGCCTTTTAGTTTGACCAGCAGACCCCAACCCAGTAATGCTGGTCTCTTCCCTTTGCTTGATTTCTTACACCTGGGGATCAAGAGCATTTGTACTCTATGGAAAGCATCCTTAAAGATCTGCCGGCTCTGTTCTGCCCCCTTGTCCCTGAGGACGGTTTCCCAGGAGGTCCAATTGACTAACTCCTTGAAGAGCTGGAGGTTTGCTTTTCCTATAGTTCCTTTCAAATGCAATAGGAATTGGACAAAGTTTATTTGGGTTTCTTCTGCTGAAATTGTAAGAGGAGCATACTAGTCCAAAATTCTTGCTTCCCTTTTCTTGAATTTGTTTGTAATTCTACAACTCTCAGGAAAATTCTAGAACTAGAATGTGTTGTAGCATTCTAGGAAGCAGTTGACGGAGGCCATTGTCCCACTCTACAGTGCACTGGTGCAGCCCCACCTTGAGTACTGAGTTTTCGGCGCCTAAATGTAAAAAGGACATAAATCTATTAGAGTGTGTCCAGAGGAGAGCAATCAAGATGCTAAAAGGTCTTGAGGGCAAGGTCTGAGGAGCAGCTGAGGTCACTTTGTTTGTTCAACTTTGAGAGGAGAAGGCTCATCGCAGGTTACAACTTCCTTTCAAGAGTGGCAGCAGAGGAGGAGGTGCTGATCTCCCCTTCAGTGACCAGCGATAGGGCATGAGGAAATGGGATGAAGCTGCATCAGGAGAAGTTCAGACTGGACATTAGGCAACAGTTCTTCACTGGAACAGGGTCCCCAGGGCATGGCACCGAGCCTGTCAGAATTGAAGGAGTGTCAAATAGCTTAGTTTTAGGTAGTCCTGCAAGGAGCTAGGAATTGGTCTCAATAATCCTTATGGGTCTCTTCCAACTTAAGATCATAGAATCATAAAGTATCTCAAAGAATTTAAGGCCAGCGTTCAAAGGAAAAAAAGACTCCCCAACAATACCATTTTCAAGACAGTTATTTAAATCACTTCAATCTAATCCCCATCTCAGGAGTGCCACGCTTAGTGGAACGCTTGACATTACCACTACTATACGCCTTTTCAGATATGTATAAAGAAATTAAAAGGAACAAGAGTGCAAGAAAGTATCTCAAATTAACTATCAGAAACTAAGACTGACATGCCAAGCTCACAGAACATTTGCTCACAGCAAAGAAAGAGGTAAACAGCATGCATAATATTGAACTCAAAGTTTTTCAGCACGGAGAGCATAAGGGTGTCTGGCTACAGAACAGTTCTCCAGTTAAGTAAACTTCCCTTCACTTTTCCAGTTCAATCAAGTATTTTAGATCCATTTGATGACACTAATTTGAAGATAGAAGTGATGCTTTTAAATGCATACAGTGGATAAATTGTGAAAAATATCATGCACAATAATAGTCTAACAAAAAATAATTTTCTAAAGAAATAACACATGACTGTTGACTGAACTTCAGTTAAAGTACCTGTGATACATGAAGAAAGAAATTTGCTCTTCACTACATGAAGGGAAGAGCTTACACCAGGAACAGGCATTTAAAAAACTTGCTGCAGTCTGTTGATGGATATTGCTATTACTATTCCATGTCCATCAATGTAGTGCTGAAAAGATGTAATACTTGCAAAAGTGTTCAACCTGCACTAATAATTTTATAACTTGGAACCTATGGTGCTATAAATTAGACACTCTCATAATAAGCTCTCTAATAGGGACTAATCAACTCAGTACAAGTGTAATGTTCAAAATACTTCTCCAGCTTCCATGAAACTGTCACTTAACTGTCTGTGCAAGGTGAAGAAAAAAAAAATCATTTACCATTATGACTTTGAATTGGTGTTAAAGGAGCTGTAAAACTTTTCTGTGGAGTGCCACTGAATGATGAGTCTCCTGCAATCAATGTTTGCTGACTTCTCTCAAGCTCACATTTGTATCTATTTAGGAAAGCAACAGCAGCAGAAATTAGTAATGGAAACTCAAAGGTTAATTATCTATTCTTAAGAGCCTGAAATACACAACTATGTTAGATAATTCTAAGAGCTTAGTTGAAAGATCAAATCAAGATACATCCACTGAAAATTTTTAGGTGTTTTAACACAGAAATAGGAAAAATATATTTTATTTAGAGTTCCTAAATATTTAATTAATTATATAGGAGTGAAAGCTAAAAACCAAAACCAAACAAAGTAGATGAAAATCAGTTAGAACTGCTTAAGATCTCACTGTATGAAGCTGTAATCCAGCTAAACACACATAAATCACTGCAAACACTAATAAAACTCTCGCTCTTCAGTAAGCATCTTTATGTTGGGAAACATACTATTCTATGTTCCAATACTGCGCACTTTGAGAAACCTACGCATATCTCATGAAAATGGAAGGGAACGTCCTTCACCCAACCGTGTATTTTTCACATGTACCATTTACATTGCTACCCAAAACACCCCAACAGACTACCCATTCCAGTGACTTCTGTGAGCATGAAGAATCACAAGCTCATCCAATGAAACCAGATTAGTTTGGAGGTTATACAGCAACTTTTGGCCTCCCCAGTAAGCACAGGTTGATAAGATGGTTCCAAGCTATAGCTCATCACTCCACAACTTGCTTTTTCATTTCCTCCTCCCTTTTACAGCTCAACACCAAGAACTGCTCTTCTGGTGGACTACCAGTCGCTAGGAAGTAGTAATTGATCACTTATCAGCATAAAACAAAACAGAACCAAATATAAACCCAAAATCAATTGCCAAGATCAAGCTACATGTAGTAACTGATGATCTTTTGTAGTGGACAGCTATGCAAAGTGATATAATGGGAAAGAGACTTAATTTTGGAAATAGATAAATGGAACACATATGCTTAGCCTGCAATCTCTCTGGCCCAACATTTGGCAGCAGATACAGAAAACTTGAGAGTGGTTCTATCAGCCTTGTTGAATTTCCCTGGACTCTTCTTTGATGGATCTCAGCAACTCCTCAAACAAAGCTGGTGTTTCTACATGACAAATTGTTTTGTTGACATTTTTAATCTTCTCACAGCAATCAAATACTTCAACAAGCTTTAGTTTTCCCAGCTCTGTGTGTGTGTATGCACACACACAAGGGAAAAACCAGGAAGACCAATGCAGCTTCCTCTTTATTTGCTTCTACCAGGACACATATGAGGCATACTATCTAAAAGTTGAAAGAAATAGACACACTTCAGGCCATGGGGAAATAAAAAACAAACCACCAACACCCGAACCATTACAAAAGCTGGTATCACAGACTCACCCCTCTCTGTGACAGTAATTCTACATTACTGGCACAACAATTTATTGCATATGCATAATAGTCAGCTTCATCAATGCACACAAAGTTTCAGGAACACTTCTATTCAAGAATAGATGGTGCCTCTAGTATGAGAGTAAGTTTAACAGATGACAATATTCACTTCACTGTGGGCAACTGTTCCACTTGTGTGGCACCCTCAGATGGAGGATTTTAGGTGTGCCTACATTACAGAATACTCTGTTATTGTATGAATTGCATTCCACCTCTACAGACAGTATACAAGTCCTGTCTCAGTAATAACAGTGTTTACAAATTGAGGTATTATGAATTAGGCACTTCTTTACCAAAGCAACTGAATTCAGCGGTTCAGTCACAGCACCATTGCTTTTGGCAACTTCCACTCTCATCGATGTTCATGCCTCCTCCTTCCACCAGTCATATTTTATTTGTAGACTTGATACTATGAATCTAATTGTCCATATACTTTCCTTGCAACTCTAAGCTCTTTGCAGGTTACTTCTGCTAAGTGACTCAGTTGTGCTAGCTTTATTTGGTTTTGTTTAAAGTCACAGAAGGACTTGACATTGCAGAATTCCCCCAAATTAACCTGGGACTATAGGCACTAACTACTTCAAGTGGCACACACAGTTTTATGTAGAAGTCCATATATGCCTGTGTGTATCTAAAAACAGGCCAACGTTTTGAGATTTGGGTCACAAAATCTGAATGAAATCTGAGATTAATAGAAACTAAAAGACCATGAAGGATGCATTAAACGTGAGGAAAATAACCACTGTACATAGGTTACAGACATACAGCAAGTCCTCACCTTTTCAGTTCTTGTTCTAGCTTTTTGATGCTTTTCTTGCTGGAATTCAGCTGCCCTGACTGAATGTTGACTTGAGATTTTTTTACTTGAAGATCATTTGAGATTTTCTGTTTTGCTTTCTCAAGACTATCACACAATTCCATCAAGCTCTGGTTCTCTCTTTTTAGTGTTGCAGCTTCTTTTTTTTCATTTTCAACCTAGTTGGAATATAGACCATTTCAAAAAAAAGTCTCAAGTCCTATCTACACACCTGTGCAAACAGTATTTTAATAAAAAAATTTGCATATCATTATTTTCTTCCTAGCATTTCAAAATCCTGACAGCACTGAAAACCTCAGATATATACATTGTTTAAATATTCTTGGGCATGAAGACAACAACATTTCCTAAAATTCCACTCAGTGACATTTAATAATTTATACTTACTGATTAGACACAAGCTCATAAAAAAATTCATCAATCCTTCAAAACTAAGAAACCATACTAGTCCACATTCTTCACTGATCACCTTGCTTCCCTTTTCAGCCTACCAACTTTAGCAACCAGAATACCTTGACTCACTAAACACGTCATGTAAAATGATTATCAAGAGTCACAACTTCAAAATTAGAAATAAAGCCTAGCAGTAGAGACATCCTCCTCCCCCACTTCCAGCTTTTGAGAGGCAGGCTACAGTCAGGCTACATCTTTGCACAATGTTATTCTTCTAAGAAGTCTTAGCTGCTGCTGCTAAGAGTTTTAAAGCACACCCCTTCTTTTAGTTTGGGGAGCACAGTAGTTCCTCTGGGCAGTCAAAATAAGTACCTGGAAATTCACAGGAAAAAACTCAAAAGAAAACTACTAGGCTTAAGTTTTGCTAGATAGTTGTAGCAGCCTACAGAGAATAAAAGACAACATTTGTAAATTTCCTCTGAGCAGGACTCAAACATTACAAAACAAAATTCAACCAAACAGGTCACTTCTGTTCTGAAGCAGTTTTAACAGGCATAACAATAAAGTCATTTCTTTTCCTAATTATAAAGAGATGTAGACAGGCCTCAAAGTAAACACAAACACCTGGAGATAATCACACCAAATACAGACAGGAGGCAGGAATTCTATTAACAGTCAATGAGAACTAAACAGAATGGAGAATACAATGAGTATGGAGTAAGATGAAAATAAGCAGTTTATATTTCTGTGCTACCTTTCCAGTCAGTGGAAGAAACAAAATACTAACCTACCCCCTAACAACCACCCGATAATAAATCTGTAATTGTGTTTGTCATGAAGAATGGCATTTTAGGGAAATGACTGCAGTACCTACATTACCTTCTGTTTCTGTTTCTGCAAAGCTACCTCCAAACACTCTAACTGGAATTGTCTTTGCTGACTCTCCTTTTTAAGCTTATCTACTTGATTTTCCAGCTCATGAATCTTCTGAAGGACTCTGGGAGGCAGGCCTTCTTTCCATTCCTCCACAGCCCAGCTCATATTGATGGGATTCTTGTGGATAGTACTATGTCTGAAATACAAAACCAACTGCAATTAAATCTTGAAAGAGGTTTAAAAAAGCTGCACTTTTAAATAAATTCCATGTCTAAGCTTAGCAGTAATTACAATACAGGATTTCACAATCTTGAGTTGCCGGCTTCCTCATCTAAACAGCAAGCAGCTGCTTTCAATATTAGGTCCTATTTTGACACACTTCTGTCCAATTAGGATGAGATTTAAAAATCTCATGTTATTCAATCTCCTAACAATAACAGGGCTTATATTCTTAATGACATTTGACTGCTGTACTTCAGAAAGCTTCTCTCCACATCTTATTTTGATGTACCTATTGCAGAACTACATAAGCACTTATGAGTGCTTTGTACTTTGATGGTGTTTAACCTGAAAGCCTTGTGAAAACCCACAGCTTTGTTTTAGGTAGCAGCTATAGTTCTTTCTGGTTGCAACTTCATCACCTTTAATGTCCTTTCCAACTCTAACCATTCTATGATAATACTGCTGAGTGCAGATATCTACTAGCAGGAACAGCTTCTTAAATTTAAGTTCTTAAATTTAAATTTGACACAGTCATAAGAAATTGGTTTTTTATTGCTGTAATAACTCCTCCTTTAGAGGATGTAGCACGGGCTTACTTTACAGCAAGAGTAGCGCAGTTCAGACATTGTGAGAGAAATTACCTGAGAATAACTAAAACTAGAGATCAGGGACAGACATACAGCTCCCACCCAGGGCGAGGGGGAAGCTCGAGGTGTCCCTCGCCTCACCAGACCCTCAGCCCGGGGAGCGCTCCCCGGCGCTGCCGCCCACCGGCCCCTGACGGTGACACACCACGGGCACCCCCGTTCCAGGGGAAAACCGGTACCAGTGCCCTGATAATAGCCCTCGCCCTCTCCGTTAAGGTGCCATCGCCTCCCAGCGAGTCGCACGGCAGCGCGCTGGCCCGCTGGGGTCGCCTGACACCCTCGCCGCTCCCGGCTGTGCGGAAGCGGACAGCTGGCCCCGAGCCACCCCCCGACCCAGGCCGCTCACTATTAAACGCCGACCGGGCTCCAGCGGCAGGTGTCTCCCTTCCTCAGCTCTCGCAGCCCCTCACCGGCTGCGGCGGCGGCGGCCCCACTTCCCCGCAGCACTTCAAAGCCGCCGCCGCCCCGGCGGCCGTTTGTGCACGCCCAAGCCATGGCACCGCCCGAGCGGGCTGATTGGCCCCGCCGCGACGCCCCTCGCCACGCGCTCCTCGCCATCTTAGCAAGTGAGAGCGCGGTGCCAGGCCGCCGGGCAGCAGGATTGGCTGGTTCGGAAGCTTTCAAACTCCATTGGAGGTGGCGGGGGCAGAGGTGACTCGTGATTGGCCCCCGAGGCCGGCCCTGAGGGACCTGCAGAGGCCGCCGCGGGCACCGCTGGGCCATCGACGCCCTCCCGCCAAGGCAGCCCACCGGGAATGCCCCGCCGTACGGCCCGGGGCGGCGGGGAGGAGAGGGCTGAGAGGAAAGTGCGGCCGGAGGGGCAGCAGGTGTGGGGGAGGAGGATGGGGGTGTAAAGGCAGCCTCAGACCTGTTACCCCAAGTCAGTTTCCCCGTCCTCCAGAGAAGCTGAGTTTTGAAAAGGGAAAGGAAACGTTTCCCGGTGCCGTCCTGATGATAACCCGTTCCCTTGAAAATATCTACAGAAGGATCACGGAGTGGTTTAGTGTTCGGTTCTGCCCAAACTGCTCCTGGGGGTTGGGTTGGGGTTTTTTCAGGGGGAGTGGAAGGGAAGGCAATTCGGCCCAATATTGCACATTTTCTAGCCTAGAATAGAAACACAAAGTGACAAAACACATTTTCTAAGCGTTTTCCAGCACTGATCACTGAATGCAAGTGGCAACAGTGAAAGCTTAAGGGTTTTCAAGCTGCTGTGAGCTTCCTGGGGTGCCTGTGATTGGTTTCCTAGGGCTTCCTCGGCTCTTCCCCCCCTGCCCTCCCCTCGACCCGAGAGAGGGGTCAGGTTTGAAACAAAACGGTGTTTTCCATCAGAGTCTGGGAATTACGGATCGGATGATTATTCTACCTAGTTAAACATCTTGCTTCTTGTGATCGTTCTGAGAATATTTACCCAAGCACTGTTCTTTTCATCCTATTTAGGAAACCGAGGTAAACAAATCTTCCTTGATAAGTTAAACAGCTCACCAATCAGCTCGCAAGAGCTCTAATTATAAATAAATATAGTGCAACAAACTCACTAGTACATTGTTTAAAATTTCTAAACTAGCCCCAGAACAAAACAACAAGCCATCAAATTGATGGAACCAATCCATCATAAATATGTCTTAACAAACGACAAGTAAAAATAAAAACAAGCTAGAAAATTCCATGATGAAGTTCATGCACTGTTAGAGATGACTGTGCAGGTGTTACCGAGGGCAGAGCACAGAACAGCAGAGGAGCAGGAATTAGTGGAAGAGTGGGAAACCCCTAACGTAGTATTGGCAAATAATTCATGAAAGCTGGGGACCAGTGTGAACTGAAGGGGATTTCTCACTTGGTGGACAAGGGGCAAATGTTGTGTAAGAAATAAATAAACATTATATATTGTAGTCAGTAAGCATTTCTCATTTGACAATAACAAACGTTACTTAATCAAGTGTAGAAGTTGAAAGAGTTTTAAGTTACTGCAGATGCTATTATAGTGGGACCACTGATGGACAGGAAGCATTACAGCATTTAAACTACTGCATCATGACGAATCCCTTGGGGAAGGCTTCAGTGAAATAGCTTTGACTTCCAAGATTGGTGGCATATTTTTCAGAAGGGGAAAAATTAGTGAGACAGCCCTCAGAGTTCTTACAAGGCATGAAAAATGAAAATCGGCTTTTAAGATGCAGTCTGATGAATACCTAGATAGCTGAAACTAAAAAAAAAGGAACCTGACTGCTGTTGTAAACCTAAATTTGAGAGAATACTCATTCTGAAGCCTGTTTCTAATAATGGCCAGATTTGTGCTGGTTGATAATGATTTACAAATGAATTCTTTCAGATTTGGCATCCTTTACTTGACTATTACAGCAATTAACTAATTACCATGCAAGATAAAAAGACTCATGAAAAGTACAGAAACTTTATTTTTATTTTGCCATATCCACCTTATTTTGCTTCATAAGTATTATTATATTAGTTATCAGAGGTAAGTATAAGATACAAAAATTTTAGTAAATGTAAGATTAAAGTATAAGATACAAGGATAAGGTCAAATACCCTGAACAAATAATACGAAGTTATAAGGGGTGTCAATAGCAACCATCAGTTTGACTAACACTTGCAATTATTTTTATTATTCTCTACTAGCTAGCATTCTTGAGGTCTTTCTAAAAGGCTCTCAAAATTCCCTGGTTTGGAGCACCCCATGATTTCGAGCAGAGAAAACTACCTCAGCCTTGTGAAGTGGCTTTTCTCTGTCCTTGAAATTCCATTCAGTTCTTGCCAAATGTTAAAAATCACCATTTGTGTTTTCTCACCTGCATTCCGTACTATAATTTTTTGGTGAAGGGCCAGAACACTGAGCAGAATACAAAAACCAGTAAAGGTTGGATTCCTATTACTGCAGCTTATGTCAGAGCACACAATGAAGCAACACCGGAAGGGAAGGAAAGGTTAAGAGCTTCTGATGTGAAAATCCCACGCTGCTTGGACACTACAAGGAGCAGAAATCAGACAGAGATTTTCTCCTATATTTTCCCTTTTCAGATCCAGAATCTGGCAGGTACAGACTATTTCGTGTGTGTATATATATATACACACACACACATTTACACACACATCAAAGAGCACCCGAGGAGCTGGAGCAACCCCGTTCACCCAGAGAAAGAGAGAAAGGGCCAGGTGCTCCGTGTCTGACGCGGTTCTAGCTTCCCTGTTGAGGCACTGGAGGGGCAGACGCTCTGCCAGGTTGGGGGTGAAAGAGAAGAAAGCCCAATCATCTCCCCGAGCCTCACCCAAACCCCACCCTGTACTAAGTGGTGCCTCTTGCCTCTGGAAAACAAAATCCTCCATCTCTGCCAATGTGGGTGGGTAACTGAGACGATGGCAGTTTAGGTGTTAGTACTGGAGTTGCAAGGTTAAGTCAGCACTAATAAAGCCCAGTGAGCTACTGTTGTGAAATACAATGTTTGCTTATATACCCTTAGATTTCCTATCCTTCATATAACTGTTTCTCCACAGAAACCATGCCTTTTTCAGTGAACAGAAAAAATATAAAGGAGGGTGCCATTAGGATGCCTAGAGAGCCTTACACCTTAGATTTCTTATCTGTCTAGTCTTACACTTTTAAAAATGTTGAAGTGACCTGCGTGATTTTTTTTTTACAGTTCATTAACAAAATCAGGGAACGCAGCATATTACAAATTACTATAAATTACAAACTATAACTTTTTGCCAAAGGAAACGGGGTGGTTTTTTATGGGAAACTGCTACTGAAGTGCTCATATTGACTAGGGTCAACTGGTAAAGGTATTAATGGATAAAATACCAATAGTTGCTCTATTGTTTGGTGATCACATTATCTAGTATAGCCTCCTAAACACGAGTGGGTAGGTTTCCTAGTACTGAGAAGGTGACTGAGGTTACCTGGCTTGATTAAGGTGACACAGTGAATCATATGCAGGTGCTGGACAGGAACCCACAGGTGGGGCTCCGTGGCAGTTTAAAACACCTGGAGGCAATGTTGCCACATTCCTACCCTCCCTCCTGTCCCCAACCTGCACACTGCCACTACTCCCTTGTGTCAACTTCAGTTCTGATCTGAACTGCCAGGTAAGATAGATAGTTAAATTGACAAGGGGTATTATACTGGGCAAAGACCTTTCTGGTAACAACAGCTTGTGTACAGCTTGGGTCTCCAAACTGGTGAACTGTGGGGTCGGATAAATACCTGACCCAGCTCAACAAATGGAACGGGGCTATGCAGAAGAGAGTGGCAACACCAGCTTAGATAATTTAAAATATTAT